TGGGAGCCTCAATGGTGTGCATACATGTAAAATGGGCCGTGCAGCATCTTTTTTACCTTCAGTTCAATAAATACCACCAAGTTGTAATCCCTGACGTTGATAACTTGCAAAAGCATCCATTAGTTTGTTCCTCCGAGAAATGAGAGACAGTCGAAAGAAAGAAATGAAACAGCTTTCCCCTCCTCAACTCGCAATTAGAACTATCAGCCACGTGATCTGATCCTAATATATGCAGCGTCAGTGTTTATCATAGCCATAAGCAGGGTTGGCAAAGCGAAGCATGGGCTAATCTTCAGATATAGCTTTAGTTGGGCTATAATGGGGCCCGAGCCCCACCAAAGCGACAAACAGAAACAAACGACAGCGGCTAGCCTGAAACCAGAGTATTTCGCGATTTGACAGGCTTTGTAGAATAAAGAAGGCTATGCTCAAACACGAGTATCATGCACACGATGGTACCATTTGCAGGCTTGTAAACACTCCTGCTAACTTCGCGAGCACCGAACAACTCAAAGCCGTATAAAGGTACCATTGCGAACATGCTGCATGTGTCTGTGGCTTGTCGCTTTCGTTTGCTTCTGCTTCTAGCTCTAGTGGGACTCGCGCCCATCATAATCTTTGAGTTGAACACGAGCCGTTACCCGAATGTTTGGCGATACTGGTTGTCATGAACCAGAGCATTTGACTCGGGATCATGACAATCGGGTACATCATGGTGTCACGGGACTCTCAGTGCGAAGTTGTGATGTCATGTGACGTCACGGTATCAACAACGTTAATAGGTCTAGCGACGTCCTCAATTTGAATCGACTTTACGCGGTGAGTCACGTGACGTCACGGGGTCACGTGATGTGACATTACTTGACAGCATGTCTTGACATTATGACGTCACGTGACGATGTGACACATGGCTATTCATAGTGCCAATAAGAAAGCGCCGCAAAAAACCAGGATTTATTATACATTGGAATTCTGTGTATGACGATTTGATCAATACTTGGAGGAATTCACGTGCCAATTTTTTATTCCCAAATAATAAATTTGTAATACTAACAAAAAAAAAATCACCGTGAACCGTTTTGAACCGGTTACCGTTATATTTTTTTCCGGTTCCGTTCCGGTTCAGTTCCAAGATGGCGGCGAAGATTTCGGTTCGGTTCAGTTCCGGTTCGGCTAAAAATAACGGTTCTGTTCCGGTTTTCGGTTCGGTTCCGTTCCGGTTCGACACCCTGGTGGAGGCCAATGCTTTCATCCCCGCCTGGGCCGTTTTTCTGCGCTGAATGATTCGCAGACCATCAGAACCTCAGGACCTCGGCAAGAAGGCAGTGTCCCCGAATAACGACAACTTGAAGGAAGAACAACAATGCATCCTTGAATTTGAAAGGAAGCTGAGCTTCCCGATCACGCACACTCGTCTATACTCGGCGTCAACCATTTTGTGCTACGTTGTCGAGGACAGCGTAGCTTCCTCAGTGCTCGGACTCTGTAAGCTAGTTGCGAGGCGAAGCCATCGACCACATGCTCTCGCATAAGCGTCAAGCTGGAGTACTGTGGAAGCAACGCTACCCTTCACGAGGTTGCACACAATAGTTGACGCCAAGTATATATGTGTAGAACAGGGGTGCCCGAACCGCGGCTCTTCGGGGGCCCAAGTGGGGCTTGCGGCTCCCTGGTAGACCTAACCCTCCTTCCATCTTGCAAGATAAAAAAGAGCATTAAAAAAAAAAAAGCTCCTTGTGTTTTGTCAGCTTTGTGCCAAAATACAAACAGATAAGGTATTCGTGTTACGAACAGAGACTCAGAATAAATAAACATGCTGAGCAATCGCCTTATGAATAAAATTCGCTGTGGCCACCAACTAAAAAAAAAAGATTTTAAAACTGTTTTTTTTTTTAAGTACTGTATTACGTTCCTATTTTTTATCGCGACTCTTCACTTAAAATGGTTCTTTATGGCTCTGAATATGTTTGTCTGGCCACCCCTGGTGTAGAATATAATTCCAAATTGATTAATCCCTTTTCAGAAAATCAATTGCAATTTAATGCACTGAACCGGTATTGATTTTATGTCGCCCATCCACGTCCCCTGGTATTTCTCGGACCATGAGTACTGACACGATGACAAGACACCAATTGATAATGACATCAAGGACGACTGCAATTCGATGACTTTACTAGCAATGACCAACCAAATAACATTTTTTAAACCAAGCATTTTTTTTTTGCCCAGAGATTAGCATTGGAACGGTTTATACTCGTTGTCTTTGTGCGGGTTCGCAATCACCGGGTAAGCCGATCAATGAATGACGATTCGATATTGGCGCTGCTTGACATGGCTTCACCGGAACGCAGCCTGCGTTCGTTCTCCCACTCGAAGCCACTCAAAAATCCCGCAAAGGGTACCGTTCTCCCTCTCCCGCCCGTGGAAACTAATGTGCGTCTTCCCCTTTCCCGCTCAACTTGCCCGTCGCCGGCCTGCTGGCTGTCCCTCTAGCTGGTCCAGACGGTTTTGCACACTTTCACCCAACTTTGGCCTGTAAAAGTTATAAAAAGCAACAAAAAAAAAGTCTTTTGTTTTTTGCAGTATTTCGGGCGAAGTTTTGCAGACTGGTTTACCGCCCTTTACATTGCAATGCGACCGCTGCGTCCGTGTCGCCGCAGTGAAGGCTTCATGTACGCCGATATCTGAAAACTAACCATGTCCAGCGCTGCGTCCGTGTCGCCGTAGTAAAGTTTTCATATACGTCAAACGTCAATATCTGAACACTAACCATGTCCAGCTTTGCGTTCTCACGGGATTCGACCCGCAGAACTGGCTCGAAGCTCAGATTCAATCGTGCCCTTTAGGGAAAGTGACAACGACGTTTACTTACAGTCACGTTTTTCGTGTATCTGTGTCTACGAAGTGGCTGTGTGCTCAGCGACGGCTCGGTCACCAGTGTCCGTGACTGATAACGCTTACAAAAAAAATGAATTGAGTTTCAATTGAAAGTGTAAAGGACTTACTCAATAGACCGCATTCAGTCTCAATGGAAACTCAATTGACTTTTTCTAATGATTCCCTATTGAACCGTCCTAGGGTATTGGCCACTGAGTCTTAATTGACTTTTTATCAATTGCATTTCAATTGAATTTTGGCAATAGTGTTTCAATAGAACTTTTGCTATTGAGTTTCAATAAAATAATTGCAATTGACTTTCAATTGAATTTTTGCTACTTGTTTCAATAAAATTTATTTCAACTGGGTTTTAAAAAAATTGCAACTGGTTGAGATCTTTGTATAATTTCTTAAAGCATGCAACATGAAGGAAACAAAGCACATGGAAAAAACGAACACAATTATCATAACTAAGCACTCACAACCCACTAATCGTACTCCCCTTGACTACCCCACCGCCTTATATACCCTACATAAGAAAGGTATTCATTTGGCCGGTGACCACCTCAGCATTTATTAAGGTTCCAGTTTGCTATTTCCTCCTTGGAAGTCTCATGAATGATAAACAGTGTTTGGACGTCATTGGTCTCTATCCCTTAACGGAATAATAGAAAAAACATTGGTACAAGCAATAATCGTTCGGTGCAGTAATCCACAAACGACCAAACTCAATTGCATTCCTAATGAGTAAATTCAATAGAATATATATTGAGTTTCTTACGACCAAACTCAATTGCATTCCTAATGAGTAAATTCAGTAGAATAGATATTGAGTTTCTTACGACCAAACTCAATTGCATTCCTAATGAGTAAATTCAATAGGATTGATATTGAGTTTCTTATGACCAAACTCAATTGAATTACTAATGAGTAAATTCAATAGGATCGATATTGAGTTTCTAATGACCAAACTCAATTGCATTCCTAATGAGTAAATTCTATACAATCGATATTGAGTTTCTTCTAACCAAACTCAATTGCCTTCATAATGAGTTAATTCAATTGAATCGATATTGAGTTCTTAATGACGAAACTTAATTGCATTCCTAATGAGTAAATTCAATAGAATCGACATTGACTTTCTTATGATAAAAGTCTATTGCATCCCTAATGAGTAAATTCATTAGAATTGATATTGAGTTTCTAATGATCAAACTCAATTGCATTCCTAGTGAGCAAAGTTAATAGAATCGATATTCAGTGCCTTATGATCAGTCTCAATTGCATTTCTAATGAGTAAATTCAATAGAATCAAAATTGAGTTTGTAATGATAAAACTCATTAGACATTGAGTTTATATTGAGTTTCAATTGACTCTATAGGAACACAATAGAAAGTCGATTGAAACTCATTGATCATTTTTGTAGGGGAACATCTACATGAGAAGTATTTTCCCTCCCTCATTTCATCAGATTACTTTTTCTCTCGATGGCGGATTGTACTTGGGATGAGATAATCGCGGCTCTTTTCGCGCATAGCACCGACTGTGGCCCCGAACAGTCAGCGCGTAGAGGATCTGCGATGTAAATCTCCATCTCTGGTGTGAACTGAAGTGAGCGCTGACTATGGCCCCGAACAGTTTGTGTAGCGCGATGCACTCGTAAGCTAAACATTTTTGTGAAAACCCCGAGACTGAGGTATGACAGACGACGACAAGGAAGAGAAGGAGAACGTCTTGAGAAGTTCTCCTTCTCTTCCTTGTCGTCGTCTGTCATTACCTCAGTCTCGGGGTTTTCCTCTAAAATGTTTAATATACATCAGCTCACTTGCGCCCTTACGTTCTGCTCAGTAAGCTAACATTGATTGGAAAATAAAGGCTGACTCAGTGCTCACTGTCCATCGGCTGCCACAGATATGCACGCAAAATGGCTCTGTTACGTGCCGCACCTTAGCGACACAGTCTTGTCGCACAATTGACATACAGTGTGCACGCCAGTTCATAGAAACATCATGGACAGTCAGTCTCGTTGTAGCAGTAATACGCATTTTGTTTATTCGTTTCAATTAACAAAAAAAAATGTAAGGCCAAGCTCGCTGGATTACTCGACACTGCCGTCAGCGCTGACTTGCAGATCGTGGATTAGACATTTCCGTTTGCGCAGTCGAACGTGTAGTCCTGGACAAAACTCAGGGCCGAGTTCGAGGCAGCTTTGGTCTTGAAGGCACTTTTTTCTGCGCTCGTCCAGCTACTCTTGTAGGTCACGTAGCGGCTGACTGGAAAGAGATAAGGGTATTCCCAGAAGAAGATATATTTTCAAACGATCGAAAGGAATTTTCTATTGTTTTCGCGATGTCAGCTTCCAAAGACCATGATTGTATGCCGCACCACAGACACCAAGTTTCGGTCTTCAATCTAGTTAGTTAAATGTTTGGACATTAGCATCAAGCTCTAACGGTCGCCAGTGAGCTTTGACGACCGATGTGGCGCCACGTATCGCTCACACTTGGACGAATCATTGGTTTTCCTATAATATGGGCGATTGTTGATATTAAGTGAACAAAAAAGAAAGCGTGGCACGCAGGTGTGTGCCAAATGCATCTTGATAGTACCTAGCACTAATGACCTCGTGCTCTCAAGTCTTCCCTATTTCTGCTCTCCAAGTTTCTCTCTGTTACTCTTTCTCTTTCTTTCTTTCTCTTTCTCTGTTGCACGTCAACATATTTGAACGAAGTTCAATCACGGCGTCATGGGCGTTCCCATGACACCGTAATCGGCCGGTGCTTCCGTCATCCCCGTTCCGGCCTCTTTCCCTCAACGCTCAAAAATGGCACACAGCCATGTGTGCCATTTTTGCCTATACCTATGCGGCGAGCAAGTCGTCTGCTTTTTGCGCGGGAGTTGCGGTGACGAATTAGAACGACACCGAGCTCTGATTGCTTTGATTGAAAGGACAGTGGGGAGACTTCAATGCTAGGTGCCTCTAAGTCTACCCCCTATTTTTTTTTTCAATCAGCCAATAAGAGTTCGGCGTTCTGACATCGTCGCAACCCCTGTGCAAGAAGCAGACGAACCTGGCTCCGCATAGTCGCGAATGGCAGAGTGGGGCTTATACGGAGCGTAAGTTCGTCTGCTTCTTTTGCAGGGGTTGCGGTGACGTTAGAACGCCGATCTCTGATTGGTTCCGACGAAGGATAGTGGGGAGACCACAAGGCAGCTTGCTTTGGGGTCTACCCACTATACTTCAATCGGAGCCAATCAGAGCTCTGCGTCTTTATGACGTCACCTCAACTCCTGCGCAAGAAGCAGACGACTTGCTCGCCGTATTATTTTCTTGCTTCGCGATTAATTCCTTCGTATCGGCAGCAATCTCATGCATTGACTCTGGAATGATCATGAGATGCAGAGAAAAAGAGCTCAATGTTCAATGTCCTACATTTACCTTTCACAACCTGACTGACTGGTGGGCTAATCACAGTACTAATCACTAAGTATGACCAATCCGGTGGCGGCTGTTTCTTGCTTGACTCACCGGATCCGTCAGGAAAGCACTCCAGCTGGACAAGGTAGTGGCAGTTGTCGGTGTCCAGGATCAGCGATGTGGTCTTGCCTGCGTTGAGATGGAAGAACGCGATACATTTTGGCACCCTGAACATCGAAGGAGTGGTACGCTCGTCATTTTCATGATGAAAACAGTATCTAAGGAACGTTCGGCTCTCCGCATTGCGTTACCAGGTTTCCCCCTTTCTGCGATTGGTTAAAGTACTTGTACGTGCGTTTAAGATCATACATTTGTTATGTCAACAAAATCTACATGTTTCAAACGCAAAAGCTGTCGATTTTTATTTTAAGTTATTTTTGATAACAATTAAGTTTTGTTCGATTTTACGGGAATTCCTTTGATCTACCTCCCCCGATGGATGTGATAACAGCCGCGGGGGTCCATATCACATGAGCGAATGACGCTTTAGCGAACAGCGACATTTGACTATGAGCGAATCGACGTTTTAGCGAATAACGGGGGCGCGCGTTAACCCATCCGCCGCGCTGCGCTTTACGCCGCTTCGCGGCGACAGTCTCCGGCGGCTCATTACAAAAATGTGAACCTATTTGGCCCACCCGAAAACGTCGCTTCGCGGCGTCCGACTATTCGCTAAAGTGTCATTCGGTGAAACGTGGGCGTTCGCTAAAACGTCATTCGATCAAACGTGGGCTTTCGCTAAAACGTCATTCGATCAAGTGAGTGCCTCCCCAGCCGCGGGTAGGAACGCTCGGCCTCCTTCGCCATGAGTCAAAGTCAAATTTGGGGGTTTTACGTGCCAAACCAACGACGTGCATCTGGCACGCCCCAGCGGAGGACTGAGGATTAATTTGGACCACCTGGGGATCTTTTGACGTGTAACCGAAAGCTCGGTTACACGGCGCCTCCTCCACAATAAGCCTCCGTCAGATTGCGGGCACCTCGGCCGGGATTCGAACCCGCCACATGGGGATCCGTAGGCCGGCGCTCTCGCCTCGGGGCCACCGAGGCGGCTCTTCGCCGTGAGCTCCAACCTGTTCGTGAAGCGAAGGGTCCCCTGTCTTGGAAAGCCCTCCCCTCACTTTCTCCTGGGTGGGACCTCCGCCCGTTCTGCTTCCATTTTCCGTCTCGGGTCCGGCTCACTGTCGACGGGCGAAGAGGTTTCGCCTCCTTTTTTTCCGCTTTCACGGGAGGAAGACTCGGTCCGGCGACCGCGAAAGAGACGGGGTGTGCAACCCCGCGTCTGGCAGGTAAGAACCTTTTCTTATACTTTGCTAGCGCGGGGGCATTTTGGGTGGGTGCTCTTGGACTATGTCCTTTCTCTGGTACGTGTGCCTTCTCTTCCGTTATATTCGAGAAAGGGAGACAAGGTAGCGATCACTGCCACCGACGGAGGCATTTATCGCACTGACCAGCGGTAATGTAGCCCTGAACGTCGTACATTGCCGCGGATACGTGGGGACCGGGGAAACTACAGGTTTGACGTCTCCTTTGTGATCGCCACCGCTGTTGAGATCCCATGGGTTACTCAACCTCTGTTGGTAGGTAGCACCCGACAAATTATAGCGCGCATCGTAAAAACTATGCCCAAAAGTTACTTTTTTTCTTCTTGCTGGGAAAACAAGTGCAACCGTACTGTACGCATATAAAAGGATAAGGACGCTGTGTAGACGTAAAGGTTCGCATTACGATAGCCTGAGCGCACCATGTTCCAACTTGATCTAGTACTGTCAAAGGCTGCATTGTGGAAACAGGTACGGTCTCGTACCTTTGATGCCTGATATTTTCGAGTAGTGGCGCTAGTTATGACTAATAGGTTAAAGAAAAGAAAAAAAAGCGGATTACTTTAGGAACAACCAAGTTTCGCGTGAATACGTTATTGAATTACGTACTAGCATTGCCGAGGTCACGCTCGAGGAAGTTTGGTCCCTTGCCACCACTGCGGACGCCGTAGATGTACCTGCAGGGAAGCATGACGCATGTTCAAAGCGTCCGTCAATGGCTATGGCCATCCGTACTGTAGTCAGCCATGGACATGTCTTTCTGGTATCGGGCGCAAATTGCATGATTACAGACGAGTGAGAGTTCCTTGCCATGTCTGCGTACTCTACAGATTTTTGAGCGTGTGTTGCACCCCTCGATGCACATTGAACACCAATCTTGGGTGATGCTTTCATCAGTTCAACCAACAACAAGGAGAATTGGCATCAGCATGTAAGTGATGCGGCCTTGGCGAAAGAATGCTGTGCACGTCCTATTTACACCAAGTCTGCGGAACGACTGTGGCCGCAATTACCTTCGTCGCCCTCCTCTCTGGCTAAACTAAACACAGAAAGAGCAATGATTAATGTTAATTTTTCTTTTAACTATGCGTGCGCAAGCATTTGAGAACGTGTTCTGATGCCTGCATTAAAATGTCATGTTATATCCCATTTTCTGAGCAGACTGCCTACATTTTGAAAATAAATTTTCTGCTAGCCTTCACTAGCATCATCATTATCATCATCATCATCATTGTCTCTTAGTTTTGCCTGCTCATGAACAGCTAACTGCCTGGATTATGTGTATTTCTGAGTGTCAGCCGACGTTTCGCCAAAAGACATAGCTTTTTCGAACCAGAGTCTGTTTCAGGATAAGAAAAGCGGGACAAGTTATTTTCCCACAAGGTCTTCAAATCTTTTCACTTTAGCAGAGCGAACGCTAAAGAGGAGGAGAGAGAGGAGGGGCGAGTGGACGCTCCTCCTCTCCAGCGTTCGCTTTGCTAAAATGGAAAGAGTGGAGGGCTTTGTGGGAGGAACTTGTCCTTGTCTCATACGTCTCATAAGGCTCAAGAAGTCCCTGTCGCATACGGCTCAATAGACATTTTGACTTTAGACCACTTTTTATATCCTGCAGCAGACTGTTATAAACAACTTCGAATTAAGCGCGAAATGTGATACTGCTACAAAAATAATTCTTTCAAAGGAAAAAAAAAACGTTCAGTTCATTATTTTAGGCTTTTTAATACGATTATTGTTTTAATGTTTTCTACATACAAGCAAGCTCTCGTGTTTGTTTGTTTGTTTGTCTGTTTGTTTTTTTGCTTACATTCAGAGGTGGGACACCTCGTACCACGAACCGTAAGCCTCCTTTCAATCAACTCACGGTATTCTGTTGCAGGTCCCGCTCTCGATGTCGTAGCAGAGGAACTTTCCATCCGCTGACTTGTCAATGACGTCGGCCCCACAGTAGGGCGCCGTGTTGGGAACGTTCCAGACAGACCAGGACTCGCCGTTGAAGCCGCAGTTTACAATCTGCAAGAGTCGCGAGTATACCAGAAGGTCCGTGAGTCGTTGCGTCGATGAAATAACGACCCGAATGAATCGAACCAAGAATCACTGCAAGCATAACAGTTAACAGAGCCGAGCCCTCGTTTCAAATTGCCTCAAAGTGAAGGCAAGCGGATGCCTCAACTCTTGAAGCCTCAGTCGCGCCGCTCGTACATCATTCAAAAGACACCATGTTCTCTGCGGACCTGATGATGACAGAATTATCCGCGGACATGCATCAAACATGTTGTAGGCATGTTTTTGTCATGTGAGTTATCTTTAAACAAGTCCACAGGCATTTTTTTTTTCTGACTAATTTGACTAGACGGTCAATAAGGAAGAAACCCGTCTCAGGCGGTCTCTGCAGATTGTCCTTTTAGGATCATCCGACTCCCTGACCGGCGCTAGGACCCCGATGATCCTCCCCTATGTCAAATCGTAGTGCAAGTTCGTCTGCTTCTTAAACAGGGGTTGCTATGATGCCAGAACGCCGAGCTCTTATTGGCTGACTGAAGAAAATAATGGTTAGACCTTAAAGGGACACTGACACGCCCCATTTTTTTTTCTTTTTTGTCACGCGATTCATTGTGGTGTCGGAATACTACCCAATTAATATTTTGTTACACCACGCATAGCCCATATTCGCACCTCGTAAAGAAACCGTACGCGTGCGTACTCAACTCGATGTATGCACTTCGTGCTTGACGTTTGAGCGAGCGATGTCTTCAGCCACGAGAAGGGACGACGACTCGGCGACGTCTTCGTGCAATCCACTTGCTGGTCGGGCGTGTCGTACGGGATGAATATCAGTTCTTTTGATCCGTCCAAAATTTCTCTTTCGAAGGAAGACAGAATTCGCCGGTACCGTGAACGACAGTTCTGAAGTAGAGGTCCCACGCCCGTTGTTCGCTGCCACCCGCGAGTCCCACGAAACGCGAAACGACGCCATGTTGAAAATTATGGAGTGAACGCACAGAATGCTTCCGGTTGTCTGTGCAACCTTTTTTTTTTTTTTCAATCAACGTATTTGCAGCTTTTTGGAAGCCACAAAAAATGGGTTCCATACTTTTTTTCTATTTTTAGTATTGACTCTGTGTCTTCAATGACCCACGACTTTGATTAAATTTGGTGGTCGCGTCGTTAGGAAACGGCCCGTGACCACGGAAAAGAGAGTGAGCGCGACTCAAACCGGCCAGTTCTTGATCGGAACCGAATTTCGAGCCGCAAATTCTGTTCTGGGTAGTTGGGCCCTCATATGTCACGTACAACTAAAAACCTCGGCGAGCATAAATACCCTGTCAGTGTCCCTTTAAGGCATCTAGCATTGAGGTTTACCCACTATCCTTCCAATCAGCCAATAAGAGCTCGACGTCGTTCTGACGCCACCGCGGCCCCTGAGCAAGAAGCAGACGACCTGCTCTCCACATACAAGTTAAGAATGCACCAGGAGCTTCGCCTATACCACGAGCTTCTTCTAACCACTGACGGACGCAGGGGTTACTATATACGTCGACGCTGCTTGCTTCGTAATTCATTGTTGAGCGATCTTATTGGCTAATGTCCTCGATGGCTGCGACAATATTCAGCCACTCCCTGTCGCTGACAATGCAGGCAACAGGAGAACGCAATCGTGCGTGTGGCGGTGACAAAGTTCAAGAAACGAGAGTTTAAAAAAAAAGAAGTTGGACAGAATAAGTCCAGGTATACCTGATTCAGGTTGAATGTGACAAGGGGCGTCTGGTCGCACTCCGAGCTTGAAGCTGTTGCCCAGGTACATAGCGTTGCTACAAGCAGGAAACAGATTGCGGATCCGGCCATGTTGACAAAGCGGTTATGTAGGAGGCTGCTGTGGACGACCGAGCTTTCGATGATGGTGCACAACCGAAACTCGCGGCTTCTCTTATATTACGACAGACCGAACTAGATCGATGACGTCAGGTTCGTAAAACCCAATTAAAATTTAGAGAAAAGTACATGATCCCGCTCCACTTGATGTCGAGGCCCATGTTCCCATTATTGTGTTTTCCTCTTTCTGGGGATACGTTAGTTGGTATATTAATTGGAGAGAAAAAAACGGGCTAGAGCTTTTGATTTTTTTTTTTTTTTTCGTTGATTTTGGGGAACGAGGGTGCACGGTACGCAAAGGGGTCAGGATGTTAGGTAAACGGAAACACACGTGTTGTGCTTCTTTTTTTTTTTTTTGCACAAAACCATGTATTTAAACGTTCACCAACTCGCCCAACAACAAACTATTTTACTGTGTGTGTGTCATTTTTCTTTGTTAAGTATGACAAATGGAACGGATGTCTGCCAACCTCGTTTCGCGACTTCGTGACCTCTTCTCCACACGTGTGGTGTTTCTTCCTTGACGCGTGGATGACATACGTCGGCGAGGTTTTTGGTGTAAGCGTAATTCGTTACTTAATCAAGTAGCGAGGCATCTATGTCGGTGACAGGTCAAGAACAAAGTGGAAGCTCCTCCCACCCCTTTCCACCTCAGCTGAGCGAACGGTGGAAAGGAGGTCGCCTCCTCTCCAACGTTCGCTCTGCTAAAGTGGAAAGAGATGGGAGGAGCTTCCACTTCGTTGTAGACCTGTCACCGACTAAAGGTACACACAAACACACACACACGTGTGTGTGTGTGCGTGTGTGTTTTTTAGGTGGGTGGGTGGGTGGGTGGGTGTGTGCGGGCGATCGAGCAAACGGGCAGGTGTGTGCGTACGTGTGTGCGTACGTGTGAGTGTGCGTGCGTGTGTGCGTGCGGCTGTGTGCATACGGGTGTGCGTTGTCCAGGTCGCGGTCACACTACTAATCATGCCTCTGACAATGTAGCGTTTTTTTTTTATTTCTTTTTGCAGAGTTCAGAGAACGAGGGTGTACGGTACGTGAAGGGGTCAGGATGTTAGGTGCACGGAAACACACAAGCTGTGCTTCTGGAACACTCGCTTCACATTTACGCTAATCTTTTGTTTCCTGTGTCTGTTTTATTTTTCACGGGTTCTGCGATGATTCACCATTCCGGCTGCTGAACCCAACCCGAGTGTTCCAACCATTCGTATCAGAGAAGCGTGTCGTCCTGAGGATCGGATTTACGTGAATCTCATTTCCTTTCGTCGGTTTTAATTAATGTCCCTCAGACATCGAAACGCAAACTGTGTCTGTGTGTGCGTTCTTCTTCTTTGTTAAGCTTGACAAATTGAACGGATGTCTGCCAGCCTCGTTTCGCGACTTCGTGACCTCTTCTCCACACGTGTGCTGCTTGTTGCGTGACGCGTGGATGATAGACGTCGGCGAGTTTTTCGGTGTAAGCGTGATTCGTTACTTGGTCAAGTAGCGAGGCATCTATAGGTAGATTTTTTTTCCGTTTTCTGGTAGGAATAGCAAAAAACGTGCAGGCGAGCTGGCGAACTTTCAACATCTTAAAACCCCGAGACACGCGTGTGTGTATTTGTGTGTGTGTATGTGTGTGTGTGTGCGTTGTGCAGTCCGCGATCACACTACTAATCATGCTTCAGACAATGTCTACGGATTCTCTTTTGCATAAAAGAAGGGAGTTGGAAGTAAACATATTTGGCAGAAATCTGCCTGGTTGGGTGGGAATTAAAGTCCGAAAAACAGGTCCCTGGGCGAATTGCCCTCTGTGTACTCACATGGCCTCCGTGAACTGATGAGAAAGCTGAAGAAATAACCGTCGTCTCTATTACAATTTTTTTTTTTTTTTTTGCAATGGAGCCGTTAAGGGCTAGGCTCCTCAGGATCGTGTCCGGTACCAAATATATGTCGACACAACACTCTGGTTGCCGCCGTCGCTCATAGATGGCGGTAGCTGTCCAGAGTGTTGTGTTTGCCGGTTGTCTACTTGGCGCCGTCGCTCTTAGATGGCGGCAACCTTTCCAGCCTTTCCACTCTGACTTGCCGACTTGCGGCCGGCCATTACTTCATTCCCACCATAGTACAGCTTCGCTGGTCTTCCTTCTTCACCAAAGTAGAGAGCTGAATTTTTTTTTTTTTTTTTACAATTTTATTTGGTTTTTTGAAGACGAAGAGGTTAGGAGCTGCTGCTGCTCCGTGTGCTGTCAGTGACCCCTAAGAAGAGACCGAGTTGGTTTCGAAGCGTCGGGTTTCCTTACGAGTTTTGGTCGGAACTACATTTTTTGGACCAAAAAAAGAGTGTGTCGCGATGTTTGCTCGCCTTTTTAATAGTAAAAAAAGACTCGCGCGTGATTTTAATCTATTGGTTTCCCGGGGCTATACTCCGACGCCGAGCGTAGCAAACATAGCGCAGCGCACACAGATACTGACTGGTCGCACCACAGATATCGAGTCATGGGACACTGACACCAACCAAAAGACACTGACGCCAACCAAGAAAACACTGACACCAACCAAAAAAATTAATTTTTTTTTGCCAGGCGGTTTATTATGGTGTCAGAAGATTTTCCAATCAATAGTTTGCTAAAGCATCACGGTGCAAAATATGGGCAAGCTTAAGGACACCCTAAACGTTCCTTGACGACTAGATTTGTTTAAAGCGTAAGCCCCCAGCCCGTTTTATAAAAGGCGGGAAACTGAAAAAAGACGATTTGGAGCTTTTCTTGAATAATTTTGAATTCCAGAGGTAGATCCGGAGCGCTTTCCAAAATCCGCGAGGGAGGCAAAATTCTGCTCCGTGGGACCCGCTCCAAATCGATGAGCGGAAGATGAACTCGCATTTTTGGAGCGATCCACCCGAGACGGTCGGCCGTTTAAAATTGCGGCCGCTGCTTGAACTTGTCAAGCCGACCAACGCCTCAGCCGACTGATCTTTCCGACGACCAGTCACAACTGTCACCACTGCTTAGCTGCAGAAATAACACGCGACACAGGCCGGGCGAAAATATCCGTACCACGGAGCCCGTGTCACGAAAAACGAGGAAGCCGTCCGCGTTCGCCACCGTCACATACCTTTCGGCCGCCTCGAAGCGGCGGGGCACGCACAGCGATCGACATCAGTGGAGTTCAGATTGCTGGTAAGACTTTAATAAACACAAAGAGGTAACACACCACCACTTGCACGGTCGTTGCCTAATCTGTTCTTGCTTTATTGCACGAGAAAAAGCCGGCGGCACGCAGTGTGAAAAGGTAGACAATCATTGCCTGCAAAATGAACAGGCCTAACCTTGCGTCTGTCTCCTTCGGATTTTCTGTCGTTCCTTTTCTCGTTCTTCCTCTCACGATCACAGATGTCAGCGCATTACGACTTCCCACGCTCCAGTCCAGCCAACCTCGCCGCGCATGCGCACCGCCGAGTTAAAGGAAATGACGAAGCGCGTTTCTGTCAACTTCCGCCAAGCTCGTTGAAATTCCGCGGATCAAGTTTGGCGGTGTTGGAGGCGCTCGGTGGAGCGGGCGCTGCCAGAAACCTACGAGCGGACGATGACAAATTAGAGCCAGATCTGCGAGCGGAATATGCGCGCTCCAAATGGAGCGCCTTTGGAGCGCTCGAAATCTGGAATTCACAATGAGCATGGGCGTACCTACCGGGGGAGGGGGCAAGGCATGTGCTATGCCCCCCCCCCCCCTCCCCTGAAACAGCCGCCACTGGGCAGGGCAAACACAGGCCGGCAGCGCCCAAGGGATACCAAGGGCACCGCCCCCCGGCCCTAGGGTTGGGGGCGGGGGGGGGGGGGGGGGGGGGGGCGGGGTCTGGTTTGCTTATCTACTGAAAAACAGGTTGGTACGCCACTGACCATAAAGGCCGGTTCACACATACAGCGGAGCGCTAAGTTAGCGCTACGTGAGCGCTCCAAGGAGCGCTCATGTGGCGCTTCCTAGCACGTGATGTGGCGCTCTGTTAGCGCTTCAGAAGCGCTTTGTTAGCGCTCTGTTAGCGCTACAGTAGCGCTCTGTTAGCGCCACAGAAGCGCTTTGTTAGCGCTCTCACGCTCCTTGTGCCGTGCTTGCTGCTGCGGAACAGCGCGTGCACGGCGATTCCTTTGTTGTTGTTGTTTTTTTGTTTTTTTTTGGCATTGAAAGAAGAGGAAGTAAAACAGCCGCTCTCCAAGCAAAGGGTCGAGCAGGCGATCCAGAGTCATGGACTCTGAGCGACTAGTTGGTTAGGTTCGACCTCATCGCTTTCTATTCGATATGCGTGACCCTGGTTTCAAAGACACGCAGTTAAAAATAATCGCCGTCGAAAGAGCTCTGCGTCTCGGTCCCTCAGCCTGGGAACAAGGTTCGCCGGGTAGCCCTCGGTATCTCGATGGCGAAAGATTTCGCGCACCCAGAAGGCTCTTTTGGGCGTTAAGCCGTCCACACATATATGCACTAATCACGTATCTAAGAGCATTTGTCGCATTTCTGTTTCAGCATCCCACATGTCTGCCATGGTGCTGCTGACGCACACCCAACCACAGGAACCGGAACCGCAGTGCACGCGCTAATCCGCAGCACCGCGGTACAAGAAGCGCTACTAAAGCGCTAACAAGGAGCTACTGGAGCGCTAACAAAGCGTTACTGGAGCGCTAACAAAGCGCTACTGGAGCGCTAACAAGGCGCTACAGAAGCGCTAATCGCGCGCTATGTTAGAACTAAGTCACGCGCTAGGAAGCGCCACATTAGCGCTCCTTGGAGCGCTCACGTAGCGCTAGCTTAGCGCTCCGCTGTATGTGTGAACAGGCCTTAATAAAGAATCGTCTTCTGCCGGACAAAAACCGGTTTCCAGTTTCCTTCTTTCCCTTCCCTATCGGACTCTTCCCTCCTCTTCCCCACAGGAACGGGTGTCTGTATTCTACCATTTTACTCTCCGCAGAGAAAAGGGGACTTTCTCGAACAGAAAGGAGGAATTGAGGAAAGTCTTCTCCTTTCTGACTGCTCGCCGGCCTTGAACAGGAAGAAATGTTTATTTGCTGATTTATATTTTCTGCGAACACAGCCCCCATTGAACTGTCCGCGAGGTACGGGCTAACGGGGATACAGCCCAGGACCTCAGGCTGCCAGGGGGCATCGTACTGGGCCTCGAATATTTGAAGAAAAAAAAATGAATGCTATTTGGTTAAAACAGCTCAGACCTAAAGGAGGAACAAAATTCAGAGGAGCCTCTAGGCCCTGGCTTTCTTGCGTCGTTAATTTCGTCCGCCCCCCCCCCCCCCCCCCCTTCTTTTTTTTTTTTAACGTGGAAACAGGGATGTTATAAAGTTCCCTTCTCGAGACGAGCTAGTGTTTGTGAGCTCGTTGTAAAAGACTGTGCTAGAGCAGCGAAATGTAAGCGCTGCCTCTCACCCTCTTTGTCGGAGCTGACGACGCTGGCGGTCCCGTTGAAGACTCTCTAATTGAAACCAGACGGAAGGACCGCCACGGAGATGTCTGTTGTACAGTGTACTGGGGTCCTATCGACGCGTTTTACGGACAATGGTGGGTTCGAAGGCAAGCATGTGCTGCCGAAGGCTACAAGAGCAACATACAAGCTACACATTTTTTTTTTTTTTTTTGTATTTTAGCGCAGTTTTATATAGAAAGTTTCCTCCGAAACGAAAAGTTTAAAACAAGCAAAAGTAACATCAGTGAACTTCCCGAAGCCATCATTTCTAACCGCAAACAGGCGTTTCAAGGAGTCGGCTCTTGAGATGTCCCCGAAAAGTTTTCGAGAGGCAGTGACTACTAGCAGCTGCTCTGGAGCCTGTGTCTAATCTGCCACTGCAAGTCAACACTTTTCCGGCCATCCAGTGATATGATCCCTGCAATTCGTTTTACAAACCTCTCAGGCATATAGCGTGTTAGTCTTAGCTTTGAGTAATGGTTGCGAAGTTATAAATTACTGGAATTGGAAGAAACAAGACCACATCCAAAACTACTTGAAACATTTTACCCTTAAAATATACAGCATGTAGGAGAGGAGTTTGAAAAATATCTCGTTGATCTTCATGAGAAATGCCTGTGAATGTGCCCAAATGGCAGAGGTTACTATATTACAATCGTATTCAATCTCAATTATTTCTTTTCTTATTGGAATGCACAAGTCTGTTAGTTTGGGCCCCGAGAGTTCATAGGAAGAGTGTGGACGAAGCGTTTTTAGCCCTAAATACTTTAACCGCCGAGATTACTTTATCGTCTGTTGCTTTGCTGTTCAAGTCAGTAATTAATCTAAAAAGGGCTAGTTAAGCGTCGATCAATAAGTGCTATAAAAAAAACTATACATTGTCGAGATAGTTTTCGAGTTGCGGCTCGCAAAACATGTCAGCGAATTTTTTTTTTTTTCTTGTAATGGGAATTTGGTGGGTATCCTTTCGGTTACTGTCTAATGCAATTTGTGCCCAAGTAATCATGCCACTCGACATCAAGAGACAAGTACCGTATAAATAACGTTTTGGATTTGGTCGAACAAGTTCATGGTACACGGAGTCATCATTTTTAACCTTTCAAAGGAAGTTTACGAGGATCTATGGAGCTGCTCAATACGCGCGAAACTTCTTAACTTTTTTCTTAACCATTCAATGCTTTGCGTTTTGTACTGAAGCAGCCTTTACTCCACAATCGCATCTGCTTTATTTCCACCCAGTAAAACCTGAATTTCACAATCATCGAATCTACCGGTACAGAACCTTCCAAGATGTATCATAAAATTAACGATATTTGCATTCAATAAGGTGGTGAAACATACATATTGTTGTCATTGTCGTCACCACCACCGCCATCGTAATCAAAGTTAGTATTATCACCATAATTAGGGGCCTCACGAACACCCTTAGCCCAGGGCTTCAAAATTCCTTAATCCGGCCCTGTCCGCGAGGCGGCTTCTTTCTTCGGGAACTACGCCTAAAGGCATGTTCACACAATCGCGTTTGGTTAGAACCGCGCTCTTGCCATTGTCTTAGGACGAGAGAAGACACTGTCACTGTGGCGCCATCTATGAGGTGTCCCTTGAACTGTGTTTCACTGAAGCGAAGGTTTTGCGGTTTTTGCGAGATCAAATGTATGGACTGTCTGAAAAACGGTCGTTTATAATATTGTCAAATTTTCTCGAGTCAAGAAGGAGAGAATGATACGCCAAGAAAATAGGAAATAAACGAGAATTAGATGAGTTCCACGGCTACCCGATACATGGCGCTAGTGTGTTTGAGATTATCATCATCATCGTCATCGTTTTTTTAAGGCACATTCTCGTTAGTAGAGCCACTAAATGAGCTGCGCTTAGAGTATCGGCACTCCGTTCCCCGACATTGTTGTGGGCGCCGCCATTTTGGCTCGTATGCAGGGCAGACGCAACTGCCGATCGTCATGGTTCAAAAGTGGGACTTCCTCAGCATTAGATTCGGTGTAAGGAAGCTCATGTAATAGTGATTTGCTCAGTCGCCAACTCTTTAAACATATGTGGAGGCCGGAAAAGCGTTTCCTGTGATTTCAGATAAAGCTTCAGATAACTGAAAACCATGATTTTAAGACACAATATGGCCTAGTGTCGTTACTCTGAAGCGTAGCTTATTTAGTGGCACTACTCGTTAGCAATCGAAAGTGTGTGAACCAGCGTTTATCCTAGTATTATAGGTCCCCGAACCAATTCCAAGTATTCGTACACGCATATTTTCTGGAGTTTGGGGAATCCCACGCTCTTGTCCTGTGCTCTTCAACAGAAACCACAATTAACGCCGTTTTTTCTTTTTACTGTTTTTTTTTTTTCAACGCCAAAAAGAGGTACATAAAAACGCGGAATATGTGGGAGAAAATAAACCCCGAAAACACGGAGCCCTACTCATAATTTGCACTTGTCGTCTAACGTCCGCCGAAAATCGCCAATTACGAATACGAATCGTACGCGAAAATCTGTCAGCTAGCTCAACTCGGTAGCACACGTGTGCGGTTCGCGGTCGCCAAGCGGTCACCAACCGAGGCAGACGTATATCCGTTCAATGTGCATCAACAAAGAAACAGTTGTCTGTCCTTGAAAGGTTTATGCCACCATTCTGTATAATGAAGTGATATCGGTGCCATCTCCACAGAGACACGTGTCAGCGCCGTGACAAGCTGGAAGGACTAATGCGCGGTTTGTACAATGATGAATCATGACGTAAGTTGGGTCATATGATCCAGGCACAGCCGCGTGTCTTTGTCCCTGTGATTTTCTAACAGCTATCACATGCTTGCTTTCGAAAAACAATAAAAATTGAATTGAAATATGTTGCTCTTCTGTGTGTGTGTGTGTTTCTTTATTTGATTAAAAGAAAAAAAAATTGTTCGCAGAGGCAGCAAAAAAAAAAAAAAAAACGACGAGCATAATCGAGTCACACATTAGTGTAAAGCGAAACGTCCTCGCTTCATTAAACATGTTTTACGGACGTGACGTCACGCATAAATCTCGATCAATCGTAATATAAGCGGGACAAGTTTCGGGTGTAAACCATCAGCACTAGCTCGATTACCTGAAGACTCTTCTACAGATCTCTGATTTCAAGATGACCGCGTCATCAATCTGTCTGCTGCTTCTGGTAGCAGCATTTACTTGGACGTCAGCATCGACCTCGGAATGTAACCGGCTTCCGCTCGCCGTATTCAACTTGAACAGGGTATACCCGGAACCTTTTCTTTTTCTCGTTTCTTTTCAGATTCTGTATACCGTCATTACTGGGCTCTAGTCTGGACAGTTAGCGAACAAGTCGGCGAGGAATTCGGGCAACCATGATTGGCTGGCGCCTCGCTTGACCTTGGAGCCGTCGCGGCCAATCACGGCGGTTGAATTCCTCGATGACATTTTTCGCCAAGTGCGCAGTGCCTGGCCAAAGCACCAAGGAAGGCACGCGCTCCACGCCTTCTTTGGTGCTTTGGCTGATGGCGCGCGCTCGAGGGGCACGATACGCCGATGCTTCGTCGAAGAAGCCCGCACTGAAGGCGGGACAACTGCAACTCCTCGCTCCCTGCCGTTCTCACTTTGTACTCGACTATAATTTTACCGTGCCCACACGTGGGTTGATATCTTTTAGCGTGCACCCTTTGTTGAATCATTTAATCTGGAGGTCGTTTTTCGTATCCATCACAACGTGCCGAAATAGAGAACAAACACGCAGCTGCCAGATGGATTCCGCTCTTCACCTTGGTTGCAAAACATCCCCTCGTCGTCCCTCACTCCAACACCTCATATTCTAAGAGGTGTTGCCGCAGGCCGCCACTGTTTTGAAAAATGTCCCACGCCCACGTGATTGCAGGAGAACGGTCTCCCTACCTTAACCCCCCCCCCCCCCTTCTCCTCCCCACTTCCCCTCCGGCAGGCGCCGTTGCGAAATACCCCCGTGGCAGGAGGTGTTGCCCGTGGTCGCGCTGTGCAGATACGCTCCCTCGCCTTGCCACTGCCGCCGCCCAGGTTTCAAGCACCGCCATGAGCCCATAATGACCTTCAGTTTTTGTTTCTTCGTATTCCGTTTACTTCACTTCACCATTACCATAGCAAGGCAGGTTATTGCCAAATTAGATTCTAATGTCTTTCTCCCCTGCATTGGCCTTTGTGGAGGTTTGTCAACGACCGTTTCAGTGGCTCGGTATCTCGGTAAGGCAAAAGAACGTCAGCAAATGGCGGCTGTGATCTGGCGCGTGTGCAAAGCGTCTATACTTTCGCTTTTTCCACCGCAGGCGCAGTCGCCTCCGTTCTTAAAAGCGTTTCAGCAAAAACAAAAACAAAAAACACGCCTTTGTGTTTTTCCAAACACATGCAACATCTCGCACAATCACTCCACCAAAACACACGTCTCACACACGTCTGATCAATTCCACTGAAATCATAGACCCATTGCAAACACTGTACAGCACATTGGCTCAAGGCAAAATTCCTTCAACGTGCCTTTACACAATGCAGGAGCTACCGCTGTCAATCGTAGCACACTTGGTATGGTCGTTTGCAATTTCGTTTTATCTCCCACAGTTGCGCCGTCTGGTTGGCAGAGACGCTGCCGGCAGTGGTCACTTGGACGCGCTCCGATAGGACTTTATCTGGCCGAGAGCGTCGCTCTGCGTTCGTCGTGTTGTGTGTCCTCATCTAATGGGTATCTTACACCGCGGTTGGGGCGCACACCTTCAGACGCTATAATCACTGGTCTTTTTTATATTTTAATCTGTTCAACAAACGAGAAAGATAGTCAGTATACCATGGTCCAATGCGAAGCGCTCTCGGTGACATACCCAAAAACCCCGTTCAATTAACTTTGCGCTACGTTTCAGTGAAAGCAACGACTCGAACATGTCCTCGTACACGACTCTTGCAGATGCTGAACTGCGGCTTCAACGGTGATGCCTGGTCCGTCTGGAACGTTCCAGGCAGGGCGCCCTACTGCGGGGCTGACGTCATCGACAAGACAAACGACGGAAAGTTTCTCTGCTACGACATCGAAAGCGGAACCTGCGACAGAGTGCCGTGAGTTCCATAAAGTTCACCACATTCGTGGTGTGAGGGAGTCACCTCCGAGTATATAGAACGCGAAGGCCTGCCGCAGAATCTCGAGAAAGCGCTCAAAAACCTCCCTCCGCCATGTGGGAACGCCACTCATTGGTCTTTCCTTTCTCAGTTTAGTCAATGAGAAAGGTGACCGGTGTCGCGTTTCCATGCCGATGCGATCTATATAAAGCCATGGTCATACTGGTAATACTGTTGAGACCGGTTATATAACGAAGTCGGTTATAACGAAATATCGGCTACAGCGAAGCGATCACGATTTCCTATTCCCTTTTGAACTTCGTTATAACTTATAACCGAAATCGGTTATAACGAAATAGCGGATATAGCGAAGTGATTTCCGATTCTCGTTGACTTCGTTATAACCGGTCTTGACAGTAGATCATACAAAATTTAGTCTGCTGACACTGTCTGAGGCGTTTTACTTCCTTGCCTGACGGTAATGGCACATATTGGTCATACAAAAGCCGTCTGCCGCCGACACGTTTGAAACATACACATGTATGAAGCAAACATGCTGCGAGCATCCTTGGGGCGTGCCATATTCCTTTCATGTCTTCAGGGAACACTGCATCGCGTCTTTCGTATGATTATAGAGACTCACAAAGCCTGGCAGTTCGACGACAAAGCCATGGAGTGCCCGGACGCGGATTTGGAGCGCGAGGATCTGGTAGCACAGAGCATTTTTCGGGGAACCTGGACGTCAGCGCACAGCTTTTGCAGCGGCGGCGACCCGAAACATCATCATCATCATCATTTATTATTCCTTGAAGGCCCAGGGGGCATTACACAAGGGAGTGAACACTTAAAAAACAAACAAGTAACAAAACAATTTATCTACAAAAACACGCTGTAATCTAGTTATGGGTTAGAAAAAATAAGCTAATGGCTGCAGAAAATTTCTTAGTATCAGATAAGGTAACAATAACGTCAGGCAGTGAGTTCCAGTCGTCAATGGCCAATGGTAAAGTAGACATTTGGTGAGTGACGGTTGACGATGAAATCGGACGGAGTTTACAAGAATGGTTGAGACGAGGGAAAATGCGGTAAGGAGGTGTTAACAAACTTTGTCTGAGATGACTGTTGTAATAAAAGATCCGATGAAGAAGAGAAAGACGAGACACCCTGCGGCGGTGAGAAAGAGTGTCAAGGTTAGCTGATTGGCGAAGTCCTGATATGCTTGCGTATGGGGAATAGTCGGAATAAATAAAACGGAGGGCCCTGCTTTGAACGGATTCCAGGTTGTTAGTTAGGTATGCCTGCCACGGTGACCATATGGAAGAAGCGAATTCTAGTTTAGTTCTGACCAAGGTAGTATAAGCTAGTTGTTTTACGGGGGATGTAGCTTGTCTGAGGTTACGGCGAAGAAATCCGAGAGTGCGGTTAGCATCGGCGATGACAGTTGTTATATGAGTGGTCCATGACAGGTCAGATGTCAGATGAATTCCTAGATATTTATACGATGAACAAGCAGTTACTGGGATGCCAGAAAAGTGGTAAGAGGAGGATAGAACATGTGAACTGCGGGAAAAAGATAGCGATTTACATTTATTATAGTTTAAAGCCATTTGCCATTTATGACACCACTGAATTATAAGTTGGAGATCGTTTTGCAAGGTTAGCTGATCGTGGCGTGAATGAATGGGTCTATATATGACACAGTCATCGGCGAACATGGTTTTCAAACCCGACGAGAAAAGAAGCGGTAGCGCGAGGAACGCGAGGAGCACGAGTGACATTCCCTCGGGAGAAGTGTGTTTCAGCATCTCGCCGCAGCGGGGCGCCCGTCACGTGGCTCTCCTCTCATCCGTTGTCTGCCGCTCCACCTTTTCCATTTCGGCGGCCGCTTCTCGTGGCGATCTGCCAGGCTTTGTCAGTATAGAGGAGGCTATGATATGACGTATGATCCGGGTGGCTGCAGGGGCTCAAGTGAGATTGCGTTCATTGGTGCATAACACCGGCCTTCGTTTTTCATTGGATGCACAGATTAAACAGTGATTAAACGAAAAGCAAGGTTGACTAATAGCGATCGCATCGTGGTAGATTATACATGCAGGAACTTCTGGGGGTGTGGGTCGTCCCGGCACTGGCCTCCGGCCGAGAGACTCATCCCCTGGGTATATATATGATATTCCGTATTCGCGTCAAATTACGACGCCAGAGATACAACGATCTCTATGAAAAAAGATCACTACTTTGTCATGGTTGATTAAGAATCAGATATCAAGGCAGGTGTCGGAAGAAAGAACTGAGCAGGGCAAAACGCAGGCTCCGCGGTCGTCTCTTGCCACGCAATTTTCGATTGAGTATAATCAGATGGGACACTTATTCACCGCGTACTTTCGCGCACTCAATGATGGACACTGATCAAAAATCGGTCCCGTCTATTTGCAGGTATATCTTCGGTGTCCGCAATATCCTCAGCGGACCAAACTACCTCCAGCGTGACCTTGGCAACGGAAGTACGTATAGTCAAATAACAAATTCACCCGAAACTTTATTCTCCCACTACAGAAACGAGTTTCTTCATCCTCTCAGGCATAAGTATATAGCTCAACTCTTGAGCATGAAAGGTACTACGTGACCGTGACACTTTTGAAGAGGCACATGCTGCCTTTTACAGCACTGCACTCAAGTTTCCCAATGCTCTTCACGAGCATGCGCGTGCTGGCGATATGTGGATATTCGTGGCCTCTGTCTCCATTGCCTTCATTATTATTATTTTTTTTTTTTGCAATATAGGTGATTGAACTTGTACTAACCTTAAAAACCGTAGTAAAAAAAAAGTTAAACTTTTTGCGGAGCATTACCCCTTTTATGCGGCGACGTAAGGTGCATTTGAGGTTAACAATGTTATTTTATCCAGACGCACACGTTTCAAACGCAGAAAATCATAATTTCGTCAAAGACAATCAAATCTTGCAAGAACAGCTTGGCGCAACGTAAAAACAATGCGCATAGCTTCTTTTTTTTTTTTTTTTTTTTTTTTATGTGACGAGTTTAGGTGCCTTCAAGATACCCTCGGCTACTCGACCCAATCGAAGCAAAATAACACCGTCTCTTTTTTTCTGAGCTCTTACGTAAACAGCCTTCAAATGTCTCTTATTTGAACGCAGGCAAGAGCACCTCGCTTATACTCGACACCGACAACTGCCACTACCTTGTCCAGTTGGAGTGCTTTCCAGATGGTTCCGGTGAGTTGGGCCAAGAAACAGGGCTAATAGACCTTTACGGAAAATCCCACAAGGCCTCTCGGCAATCCCACATTGCACCGCGCGGCGCGGTGCAATGTGGGATTGCACGTGCGCTCCTTAAACAAAGCACAAAAAAGACGGAGCGAACATATCACAAAGCTGAAATCGCCAAATGCTTACATAGATCGCTACTCCTTCACGCGCCATAGTTCGGGTGGGATGGAGGCGCTGTGTATTTTCGGAATGGCCAAATTCACTCCCAGTTGTGAACAGTCGATGTAGCAATGACTTAATTTGAGAGTTTATAGAGTCAAGTCTGCCAACATGGTCAGATTTAGCTTGCAATTTTTAGTTGCGACGTCGCTCGTGCGGCGTGGACGAGAAATTGAGGTGCGATTATGAAATCTTCGGAGCTGGCTGAGCTGCCAAATTTCCTTCGCGACGCAGCTCCTGGAGTCGGGACGGACAACCGATCAAGATGCGATTCGTCCAATACGTCATGCTGGATTGGATTCTAAAGGCCAAACCCATTGAATCAGGCATTTAAATGTTCATAATGTGGAACTCCCCAGAAAATTTTCATAACGCCGAAATAACCATAAAGTACAGTACTGACAAGACATACCACTGTTGCTCTTAGATTATAAAGAAGTATAAACGTGCAAACATTTCGGAACAAACGTTTGTTGAAATTATCAGGAACTGAACATGTTTGCCCACATAAACCAATACAACGCGAGTTCTTGCTCCAAGCCTTTATACAGGATCAAGTCTACAAGCAATCTGCACCAGAAATACCAAACGTCACTACCGCGTTTCCTGGCAAGATAGGCAACACGAAAATGAATATATGCTGTTGATTTTTGCAGCGAATTAGCAGCACAAAAACGTCCCTACAAATCGGTCCTGACAAAAAACTTAAAAAAGTAAATTTGTGAATTTTGGCAGGGTGTATTTTTCAAGCTAATGCTTGACACAAAAGTCCAGTTACAACCTCGCAAGTCCCTGAGTCTGTAATTACACACGATACACACAAAACACCGATCATTCGTATTCTTTCATTCCGTTCGGAGATTGGAAAGGGCTTTATTGGTATCAAATTTTCTTGGCCACGTGGGTTCTAAATGGCAAACGGAGTGGACGTTGTTTTGCTACTGATACTGCATGATCATTGGAGCATGATGCCAACTCTTTTAAGTCAGCGGCAATGATGGCCGATGATTAGTGTAAACTCTGAGGCACCTGAGAGTGTGATCTCGTTGTGGAAACGAGCTTCAATACCATAAGTAGATGTGTAAATATCCCACGTCTCTTTTCAGTGAGCCGCTACGTGACCTACAAGAGTAGCTGGACGAGCGCTGGAAAAAGCCAGCTCAAAGCCAAAGCTGCAATGATGTCGTCCCTGAATTTCGTCCAGAACTACACGTTCGACTGCGCCAACGGAAATGTGTGACCCACGTTGGCGATTCGGGCTCGACGGCGTCGTCGAGAACAAATATCAGCAAGGGCACTTACTAAATCACTTTCACAGAATCTCTGCTCGTAAATCTTGAAATGAAGGGAATAAAATTTCGGTTCCGGTTATTGCTGTAACAAGAATGACTGGAGCTGACTGACCGTGATGCTCAGGCTGAACTTGCCTGACGTACACTTTCGACAGCTTCTTCACTACCAATCTCTTAAAAGGACATAGCGAATTTTTAGAGCCGCGGTGGCAGAGCTAATGCCCGAGTCCCACTAAAGCGACAAACAGAAACAGAGGACAGCGACAAGCCTTAAACCAGATTCTTTCGCGGTTTGACAGGCTTTGTAGAATAAAGGAGGCTATGCTCTAACACGAGCGTCGTGCACGCGAGGGTATCTTTGGCGGGCTTGCAATCACTCGTGCCTACTCCACGAGCACCGAACGACTAAACGACTTCCAAAGGTACCATCGCGAGCATGCTGCACGTGTTGGAGGCTTGTCCGTGTCGGTTGTTTTTGTTTGTCGCTCTAGTGGGACACGGGCATAACACATCATACAAAATACAGTCCGCAAACACTGTCTGAGCTGAGGAGGTTCTTCCTTGTAGGACGGTCCCATTTGTCACGAAAAAACTGCCCGCAGACATGTTCAAGGAAATAGTTAACATAAACAAGTACTGGTGGAACTTCCTGTGGCCGAGTTAACTTGCAGTTGACCAGCTTCTTGCGTATGTTTCAATAAGCAAGAATGAGCAGCGCGTCTTTTAAGCTTTTCTTTTTTTTTTTTTTTCTCAACGGGCGGAAAAGGTATATATGTCGAAAACTGGACGTAAGATAGATCGGTGTGCGTTTCTGGACCATATACAGTGCCAAGAAAAATCACCGCATTTCGTTTTATTTGGCCTCTGTGGCGAAAGTTACGTGGCCCTATACATGACGGCCCAGTGGAAATTTCTTTACACTTGAGACATATTCAACGAAGTTAATCGCCCACGAATCAACGGAGGCATGTAATTGTTTCGTGTTTTTCGTGCACGGGAGAGGGTGCGCGAGAACAGCATCGCCGTGAGAGTTCGTGCTCGAAACCACCCTCCCTACGCCTGTCGGATGTCACTAGTGTGCAGTTCAAGCGAAGGCAACGCCAGGCGAAGAGAAGGGCGAGCACTAGGAAGGCTGAACGGGAGAGGAGGGCACTGGATGGCGAGGGGAGAAAGGGAGAGCAGGACCAGTAATGAGGAGAGGATGTTTCTCTCTTCTGCCCCAACCTTTCAAGCGCTCGCATAATAGTGTATTGCTCACTGTTTTTTGTACATATATATTTCTGTATCTTCTCGCGTCGTGCGATATGTCGAACGAGCGTACGGAAGAGCGCCCAGGACTAGGAAGGGATCGCCGCGCTTCCATTGTAGCGTTGAGGCGACCTGGGCGCTGATAAGACTGTGGGAGGATCGGCTGGAGGACCTCCGAAGCGTGCGATGAAACTCAAGCGTGAGCACGACGCCGAACGAACAGGGCAAAAGCGTAGCAAAGTACGGAAAGGAGCGGAAACATTGACACCGTAGCACTGAGCAACGTTAGGATTGAGTGAGCGGAGACGCTCAGGGTCTATTTCAACAAGAGATTGGAGTGTTCGATGTGATACTGCTCCCTTGAACACGCATAGACAAAGAAATAAGCGCCGAAATTTTGTTGCAGTATCCTTTTAAAGCAGCCGACGCCATATTTCGGCGCTTATTTTTTGGTCTTTACGTATTCAAAGGAGCAGTATCACATAGGAAACACCGATTTCTTGTTAAAAAAAGACACGAAAAATGATTTTTAAAAAGAATTGAACGATTAGCAAAGAGCCCCTGGTGGATGTCGCTAAAGCCACGTTTGTAATGCCCGTCTAGGAACCTTGACAGGTAGTGACGATAACTGTCTCGCCTAGAAATATGCATGCTTTGAACCTGACGTCATCCCGACAGCTCTACGGCCAGCACAAGAGAAGAGGGAGGAACTCCCCCTCAACGAGACACTCGTTTGTGTGTCCCAGACGACGCTATTCTCCCTCTCTACAAGATCATGGAAGATTAACCCGTCACTCAAAATTCACACGAAAGCAGACTTGCGGTGGCTGGAACGGCTAGGGCATCCTGACGACGTCAGCCCCGCCGCAGCTTTGCTCATCCCGAGACAATCTACGTCACGATTGCGCCGGATGTGACGTGCTCTCCACTGGCTGCTACTCGGGCGCTTGCCAGAGTCGGCCGTTTATAACGAGAAATACAGACATCAGACTCAAAATACAAACGTGCGATTGTCATTTACGGATATTGTGGATCATATTCAGCCTATTTATGAACATATTTCAAATTTCGTTGAAGTGGCAAGGAGGTGACTACCGACTAAATCGCGTCTGCGCCGACAATATCGCTCTTAAAAATGTATATTTTTGCGCGTAAAATTTATTTCTTGACACGCTTGTCCCCACCAGACTATTTAGAAAAAACTTTTTTTTTTCTTTCCTGTGGCCCTCACGGGAAACAAAAAAAGTTTTTTTCTAGACAGTCTGGTTGGGACAAACGTGTCAAAATTTTTTTTACTTGCATTCCGTGACGTCATGGACTTTGCATGCAGAATTTAAAATAAATCTCGCCGTCAATATTGTTCAAAATTTTTTTTTCGCGTAAAATTTATTTTTTGATACGCGTGTCCCAAGTTTAGCTTTCCTCCTCAACTCATAAATCGCGCATTGTACCAAACAGTTCAAGAAGTCGGAAAGGGGGGAGTCCCCTCTTGCTCGGAATCTCGCTTGTGTAGCCCAGAAACAGCCATTGTTCCCCTAGAAGATTAGCCCGTCGCTCAAAATTCCGACTAGTTGCTTTCCCCACCCCGTTCACCCCGAAGCTGACAGTGCTGTGGAAGCAACGTGCTCCTTGGGCCAGCCACACATTTTCCACGTGATCACGCCCTCTCGCGCATACCGACCCGCAGATAATGAGGTCAGGTGATGAAAGGGAGGCGGCTGATTGGTCCGGCAAGCGCGTAGCTTCCACCGCAATGTCAGCTTAGGGGTAAAGGGATTAAGTGAGGTCCGGTGTCGTGTGACGTGCGCTTGGGCCCTGGTGACGCGCTGCGGGGGCCCGGTTATGGTGGCTAGTAGCCCAGTGACGCGCTGCGGGGTCCGCGGATGTATCACAGTGAAAAGGCGGAGAGTTTACGAAGGGAAGGAGGTACGAAATAGTCCGCTATGTTTTGCAAATTTTTGTAGCGAAAGTCAGGCTTCTGGCTTTCTACCTTTGTTCTTTTGGCCCACTGAACGATGTGCTATTAGTAAAATCCCAATATGAATTGATTTACTCCAGCCCAAAATTCGTTTCATGGGTCCTTTAAGAAAAACAATTTTCTTTTCCGTAACCCTTTTAAAGGACCCATGAAACGAATTTTGGGATGGAGTAAATCAATTTATATTGGGATTTTACTAATAGCACATCGTTCAGTGGGCCAAAAGAACAAAGGTAGAAAGTCAGAAGGCTGACTTTCGCAACGAAAATTTGCCAAGCATAGCGGACTATTTCGTACCTCCTTCCCTTCGTAAACTCTCCGCCTTTTCACTGTGACACATCCGCAGACCCCGCAGCGCGTCACCGGGCTACTAGCCACCATAACCGGGCCCCCGTAGCGCGTCACCAGGCCCAAGCGCATGTCACACGACACCGGACCTCACTTACACCTTTTACCCCTAAGCTAACATTGCGGTGGAACCTACGCGCTTGCCGGACCAATCAGCCGCCTCCCTTTCATCACCTGACCTCATTCTCTGCGGGTCGGTATGCGCGAGAGAGCGTGATCACGTGGAAAATGTGTGGCTGGCCCAACGAGCACGTAGCTTCCACAGCACTGTCAGCTTCGGGGTGAACGGGGTGGGGAGAGCAACTAGTCTGAATTTTGAGCGACGGGCTAATCTTCTAGAGGGACAATGGCTGTGTCCGGCTACACAAGCGAGATTCCGAGCAAGAAAGGACTCCCCCGTTTTTGACTCTTGAACTGTTTGGTACAATGCGCGATTTATGAGTTGAGGAGGAAAGCTAAACAGGAAAAAGTTGGAAAAGCGTTTCACGACTCCTTTAACACTGCCTGAAGGAGCATGTAATACCCCAAGTTCGAATCTCACTTTTCTGTTTCTCCTCGTTAGTATAGTGGTCAGTATCCCCGCCTGTCACGCGGGAGACCGGGGTTCGATTCCCCGACGGGGAGCATCTTTTTTTTTTTTGCCCCCCCCCCCCCCCCCCCCCAATCATCTTCTCTCCACAAAAATAGGGAGAAGGTTGGGAACTTCCTCTTTTGATTTTTTGTGGAACATGTATTCGGCGACTCCAGTTCCAAACCTGCTCTCCTGTCTATCGCTTTCTATATCAACGAAGACCGTGTTGGTATGGGTCAGGATTGAAGAGTAAACGTCTAAGACAAGGAAAAAAAGCCTCATCTTTCAACTTTCCAAAAGCAAGTCGCCGATTAAAGGCAAATTTCTGAAAAGAAAAACAAAATTTCTCTATGAGCCGACGTCCACCTAACCATAACTTGAATCATACCGATATTTAAGATTGTGGGCACCTGTAGGATTTATTTCAGTGAAAAACTTGTCAGTAATAAAGACAATATTGTTTTCTTTTGCTGATAAGTCTTCAGTGACAATTTACGCACAGCAACAGTCTCAAATTTAATCGGCTCAGAGTTTTTTGTTTGTTTTTTTATTTACATTTGCTCAAACTCACATTTTATCACCCCTGCTAGCGCCAGATTCTCACAGAGTTTCAACTTTCTGCGGAAAACCCCGGTTTAATTTTCTCAATCTCACCCTGTAGTTCTGGAAACACCAGAAACAACTCTAGGTTTAGGTAAGAAACAATGCAGAAATTTTGTACTTCGTTTCAGCTTAAGCCCAGATGCACCCGACACTCCCAGGTAAGAGGACCAATCGAGCAACGTCAAAAGAGGAAGTCACTAGGCATTTTCTGTTTGTGATGGGTTCAGCGATGATAGAACATGCGGAAAAATGACGACCACCATGATGGTGCACTTTTGACGTCCTCCGATTGGTCCCATCAGCTCGAAGTGTCGGCTGCGTCTGGACTTAAAGGCCGACGACCAGTTCGTGCTTTCCACTTTTCCCCCTCACTTTCTCTTCTCCCCTCCTCTACCCTGTCCACCGCTGCCTGTTTCCTCTTCCCCCACGGTGAGGCGGATCTTCTGCCTTGCAGAATCTCGAATTTGCTCGTCAGCCTTTAAGGTGAAACAAAGTATGATTGCCCTATGGACATTTTTTAAAATTATTATTTAAAGACATACTTGAACTTTGCCGTCAGCCACAAGTGGATCTTGGCAAATGCTGGGGAGCATTCAAACCAATCCAATAGTGGGAGTGACACAAAACTTTCCTCTCTTCTAAAGTGCTGAACCACTTCATGCCTCTAGACCAGGGGTGCACAACATGCATCCCACGGACATGACACAGCGAGATATGCTCAGGACGGACACCAGTGCAATGGTGCCAGATGTTGAAAACTTGTCTGCCAGTTATTAAAAACCTGCGTAGTTCCCAATAAACATTTTTTTGGCCCGCGTCTTTTTTGAGTTGTGCAGCACTGCTCTAGACTGCTGCTCGAAAGAAGTTGCCGTATTCGCTGCGTGCTTCCACTCCCATGGTGAAATGAATAAAAAAGTCCAAAACAACTGTGACAATGTGGATCTCTTCCCACGAGCTTGCAAACCATCGCTGCAACCACTTTTATTTATAAAACAATTATTTAAAAAAAAAAGGATGCCAACGGCAGTTAGCGAGCCTTGTGGACTCTTATGTGTCATTTTCGGGACCTTGCACAAGATTGAAGCACAGTGTCGCTGTTCCAACAATGTTCACAGAGACCTAGTAAATGCAGAGATGGGAGTGCATTTCTGGGTGTAATGGTGGCTTCTTCTTTGTGGAGGCATAGAAGAGGAGAGCAGACGACTTCTTGCTCCTTCAAAGTCTTAACTTCATTTGCCCATGTTCATGAGGTGGTTGGGGTTCCCACTGGCCGCTCCCTGAAGCTGGCGCATCATGTTCTGCAGTCCCGAAAAGCCACCTGAAATGGGAATTGACGGTTATGTGCCAGCTGCTTCTAAGACACTCCACGTTTATTTAACTGCTACAAAAAAAAAAAACAAAAAAAAACAACTCTTCATGAAGACCAAAATCAAATTCATAAAGACCAAAATCAAATTCATTGCTTGCTGCCACTAGTGCAGCAAGCAACCTCTCTGGATGTAATATCCATAGAGGCAATATACTCGCAAGCATTGTTAAGTGAGCACTCAAGTGCTTTTTGTAGAAGCTTGTTTTTTATGGAATACCGTTTGTTGGGCTATCAATAAAAATGACCAGTTCTAGATGGGAAGGCGTTCTATAGTAAACTTGCAGCAATAGAAATACCCATGCACTATTTTCTCTCGGGGAGGCCGAGACCCCACCACATCCATGAAGTTGACCAATAAAAATAGTTAATTGCGTGGAAATTCCAAATGTTACTATTAATTACTCTCTTCGGTCGAGTTGTGCATCATATTTTGACAAAAGAGTAAAATCTTTGGGTGTATGAGACATAACACAGCAATTATTGTTTGAAAACATATATGCATACAAAAAAGTTTACATACATATATTCGAGATAAAAAAAGCATACGGGATTCAGAAAAATATATGAGAGGCATATGAGAAATATTTGGGCAGATATACAGCATTAGATACAAAGAAAACAGGATTCATAAGTAGATACTAAATAATAAACCTAAGGAAAAGATGCTTGCTATTCCATCACTTTTATATTCGGCAACAATAACATAAAGCTAACGAAATGAAGCTGTCCTGGACAGTCACGAAAAAAAACAACAAGAAAACAACGAGGCCTAGCGAGTTTCGTCACTAAAAGGATGAGAACACGAGCCCCATCTTTCTTCTGCAGCGATTTAAGCCAACATGGAAGCAGTTCCTTGCCGACATCCCCTGGCAAATTGTGCAATTCCGCTCACCCATTTGGTGAAGGACCCGAGGGTCCATCATCTTCGCCATCTGCTGGTTCAACTTGTTCATCTGTGCCGGGTTCACATTCTTCGCCATGTCACCCCCTACACCAAAAAAAGAAAAAAAAAACTTGACTGAAGCGCTAACAACATTTCGAAATATAGGCACGTCGCAATTGCAATACTAAGCCGTGTCAAACCTGGGATGCAACTCACTGGTGGTCCCTTTGTAACGGTGCTTACGGCAGAATTTCAATCTGACAGAGGATCGCGCGACGTCAACTCAAAGCAAGTGAGAAGAGGCGTTCTAAACGCTGCGCATTTAGAACAACTTTGGGAAAGGCCAAAGAGACACGCTAAATATATAAAGTGCAAAGGGCAGACGAAGACATGGAACAGATTAGATTTAGTACACTAAACTAATTAGCCCACCTTAACGTTTTAGCCAAACGGCCAGTTCACACACTTGCAACTGCTTATGACCGTCGTAAGCAAATACAAGCGTGTGAACCGGCTTAAAGAGGCGGTCCACAATTTGCTTTCCAGAGGCTGGTGCGGCAGGCTCACCCTTGAAGAGTCCCTTGATGCCGCCCATCTTCTTGACCATGGCGGCAAACTTGGTGTACTGCGCCAGCAGCTCCTGCACCTCCCTGGTGGTCACCCCGGCACCCCGGGCCACCCTCGTCACCCGCCCCGTCTGGCGCGAGAACAGCTTGGCGCCCTCCCGGTGGTCCAGCTCTGGCGGCGACAAAAAGGGCACCGGGACAATGCAGCTTTTTCTTTGGGGCACGGACGCTCAAACTGGGTCCCTTTCTACAAATCCGGGAGGTCCCAAGAGTAACGTCCCCAAGCTCCCCAATTTTCCTCGGCCAAAACTGCCCCCGAGTAAAGTGTCCTACCAGATTAAGGACTACCGTATTTTCCGTACTACAGTCCGCAGGCCATGCACGTTTAGAAGTATGAATTTTGCGTGGTGCGGACTATATGAGAATTCAAATCTTCTAAATCGTTCAATACGACGAGACGTGACAATTTTGGTGAATGACAGAGCGTGTTAACGACGATTTGTGTACGATATAAGCTTCTTTGTGAACTAATAAAGTGGGCACTTGTTGAGGCGGGCTGCGTGCGTATGAAAATTTGATGATTCAAGAACGCCACACACGACAATCGTCAAAACTTCGTCGTTCTTTCCCGCTTCTTTGAGATCTTTTTTTTTTTTTTTTGCTTCTCAGAAACTAAACATGTCAGGACATTAAAATAAAAAGGTTTGTTCTTTTTGAAACACGCGCCACGAAATATAAAAATTTGAGGCAAAATATGCACATCGTTGCCTGAATCCAAATGAAACCGCTCATGTATATTTTTTTTTCAATTCGGATTTATTTTAACAACTTGTAATTTGGAAGATCAACAAAAAGGAACAAAAAAAAGCAATTTTCTACAAATAAGTTTGGTCAAAGTGTTAGAGCCTCGACATGGGAAATGGGGACCAGTGAAGGTTTAAAAGGGAGCGTTTAATAAACGTCTGGCGGGTACGCCTGCCCAGCAAAAAGAACGGTGCGCCACGCGAGTGGTGGCACGAGCTTGGGGTTAGTCGTCTTCTTTTGCGACAGCGCTAACAAAAGCACAGATTCAGCAGTCATCAGGAGAGGTATCCCCAGATTCCTTCAAAATCTCATAGTATACACCAAGGAAGGTTTACCGCTCATTTCGTGGGGTTCGTTGATGACAGTGGGGCATTGTAATTCTGGGTAATGACACAAACCACTGTCTTGGTTTCCAGATTGCACTTCTTAGAGGAAGGTAGGGTTCTGATTTGATGACCGTGAAAGCTGTGAACTCTTGGACTTCACACAAGGGACAGCTGAGGCTCCTATGTCACCACTCCACCACGCCCAGCCGCAGGGAGAAGCGGTATAGAATAGGATGAAAAGAAAACAAGCAATTCCCAAGAAATTCAATGATTTCAATGTGTCTTTTTCAAGTTTTGCCATAGGACGGTTAGTACCACTAATGGCAAGGGTGCCAATGTTATGCGGTACATGTGCGTGCTTATAAATCTATGACAGAGTTGTACCTGCCGATTTTTTATTTCCAATCTTGAAAATTTGGAAACATAGCAGAAATAAACTCCGAATATATGGCAAAGAATAGACTCCGAAAACACGGAAACCTCATTATAATGGAGCGTGGATGACAGAGAGCTTACCCTGGTCATTCATGCTGTCCATGATGGTCATGAGCTTCTTTAGCCTGCCCATAGACTCCTGCTCGTTGCCCTTGGTCATGAAGTCGCTGCTGAAGCCTGGAATCATGCCCTATGTGACAACACATTACACCGTCATCACTCGGAACATCCCTAGTTTATAAAAAAAGATGCTAATTCCAACCCTTTGCCATCATACTTGCAAGCAAAAATGAAAGAAACGCAAAATCTCAAATCGTAAAGGGGATGTCCACCCATGCTCGTGAGATAAGTGGAGCGGTGGGCGATCTTCGGGGATGCGACAGCAAACTTTGATAGAAAAACGGTGACACACCTGCAGGCACCTGCTACGAACCAACATGACACAAAAACGGATAGTGCAGGTTGCTGACACGGCAAATTTGTGTTCCACAGTGCGATAAACATATGGGCACTTGCTATGAACTCGTGTGAAATGAAACCTCAGATTGCAGTATTGGTTTCTATAGAACTGATATCGCCGCTTTCTGTTGTCGGGCGTAACTGTCCGCTTTTGATTATTGACTCGCACATTACAAACGGCATGTTATAAGCACCCTATAAGCTTTTGGATATACGACCAACACTTGGAAATCGCCACACACAGATAAAAGCATGTTTTCGAGGCAAAATTGCCCCAATAACCCGTGAAAAACGCGTCGGTTCAGGCACGATGCTTTGCCACGTCTTTTATGCAAAAGGAAATGTTTCTAACTTTATCGGAGACGTAACGTCTCAAGTGGGAAGTAACATCGTGAACAAGACGACAGCAAACTGCGTTCCAAGCTTATCTGGCACAGCTGTCAGTATTTAGAGACACTAGCACAAACTCCAGTCACTGAACTCTCACATATCGAGAGATGATTAACACTGTGGGGACCGCAGGCGCAGCAAACAAGCTAGATCGAGCATCGTCACTCGCTTTGTGCGCGAGTGTACCACCGCGGACGATACGAGCCGGAACAGTCCTTCCTGCTTCTTTTGGCATGGCTGCCAGGCTTTGAAAGAGCTGCAGACCACACTAGGAATAAAACGCGACGTCAAAGTCCCATACTTCAGACTATTCGACAAATCGAGAGGTAATAGAGCTTGTGAGAACCGCACATGTGCAAAAAGGCGGGATCGGGTGTTTGGGCTCATATCGCTCGCGGGGGTACGCTTTGCGAGCCACATTTCGAGACGGGATGCATGAATAACCGGGGAATGAAAGGTCGAGGCACGACAAGGGGAGGGGGCGACGGGAGGGCGCCACCGACCATGATCTGGCTGAAGGGACCCATCTTCATGATGTTCTGGAACTGCTCGTACATGTCGCGCAGCGTGAACTCCCCGTGCTTCAGCTTCTCGATCAGCTCCTCGTTGTCGTCCAGCTTCAGCTCGTTCACCTTGTCGATGAGGCCCTCAATGTCCCCCATGCCTGCATCCCGTTCGCGAAACCCTCCGTCAGACGACACACACTCTCCGGCCATTAAACTTTGCCTTCCACACGCCTACGTCCCCTTTTTCGTGAGAGCAGGCAGGCAGACATGCACGTGTGGGAACGCGCAAAACGTATAAGCGCGAGTATGTGTGCCTCTAATCAACACAAAATGTGTTTTAAGAGTCATTTTTCACGAAAAAATTGTTATGAACAAGCGTAATGCGACAGTAAAGACCGACCTGCAAAATATCTTTCAACGAGAGTGAAAATTCTCCTCGCCACCCTTCCCATTCCCCCTCTCCCACAGCTATATTGACGGCAGGAGGGTTCCTCTTGATGCTGCATCTTGGGGCTGAATGAGACGGGAGCCCTGCTCATCCAGCCCCAAGATGCAGCAACAGGGGTCCCCTCCCCATCATGGTAGCAGTAAGAGAGGAGAAAAAGGGAAGGGTGGCAAAGAGGATGTTCACCCTGGCTGAAATATATTTTGCAGGTCGACCTTTAAGGTTATATCGTAAGATGCCCAGCATGCGCCCATTCAACAATAAGCGTCCACTCAATTTTGTGACATTTGTGAAATACACAAAGGACATATCTTTACACATTCTTGACCTAAGAAGTGCCCATCTTCCTGTTTTGCATGATTATCTCCAAATTTTAAGTGGGTCCCTGCTCGAGATTTTTTGGTATGTGAAAATAAAATAAATATCTGAAAATTATATAAACATAAAAGCTAAAGATATAATATTAAAAAAAAAACACTTTTAGCCTTTCCACTTTGGTGAAGAAGGAAGAGCAGTGAAGCTGTACTATGTGCCGCTATCTACAAGCGACGGCGGAAACCAGACAACTGGCAAGCCGGTCGTCTGGTTGCCGCCGTCGCTCATAGACGGCGGTAGCTGTCTAGAGGGTTCTGTCGAGATTTATTTGTCCACGGACACGAAACTGGGGAAACTAGCCTTTAATAACTCCGCTGTAAAAACATGTTAAGAGTGTGTGCATTTTACAAACACATTCTGTGCTCCCTGGTCTTGGTCGCCATAATCAAGCTTGTGTATTTTTGACGAGCATATAGCGATTAACTTTGTGAAAACCTACGCGCTCGCTCTCATGGGAAAAGCCGATACCAATCGTGAAAATGATTGGTAGGTGGCACAATCCGTTGCAGTAACCGGTAGCTGTCATCACTACAACCAAAGGTACTCGTCACGTCATAAAGTAGTGCAACCACCTTTTTATTTTTCACATACATATTTTTAGTTATTTATTCGAGACCGTAAGCCACCGGCCTTTTCCTCTCTTTATTTTACTTCCAATGGTGCTTTTCTTCCCCCCAAAACCCAGGGGGCGAGATGCCCCATCAATAAAGACTGACACATCTCCTGGCTTTGCTCTTCCCACAGTCACCAAAATAAACGAACGGGCAATGTACCAAAAATGCACGAGTATTACATGGTCGTGCTATTGCTAGAAACCGGTTCGAAAAGCCAATCAACAAGAACTCGCCTGTAACACCATAGAGTTTCTGACAGGTGCCTATCCCTAGCTGCCCGACGAAATGGCGGTGGCATAATGCCCCATTACCGAAGCCAAAATTGGTGCTATTTCCAGACCAGAGACGTCACAGAATCTAGGGTTCCAGTGACCACCCTTCACTCACCTAGCAGTTTGCTGATGAAGGGCTTCACCTTGAAAGGCTCAAAGTCGTCTATGTGTTCGCCGGTACCTATGAAAATGATTGGACTGTGTGTGGCTGCCACCCTGTGTTAAGAAAGACATGCCGGTGCGGGAGTGCTCAGAATGACATGATCCACCACCCGACGCACAAAATGGATCTTAAAAATTACACGAGTACACTTAAGACTTCTTATGCATAGGAATGCGGAAGCATTCCTACGCAATTCCCCACTCCCCCTCCCCATTCCCTCGGGGCCTCAGGCCACGCCTGACGCATGACTCGAGAGGGGGAAGAGAAGGGCGGTTGAGCATGCACCACCCTGTTCCTGTTACCGGCGCACGGGTCGCAGCGCCATGGAGAGGGCTTCTCTGTGGGGTGGCGTTCCTTGGAACTAAAACGCGTCAGAGCCAGTGGGAATTTATGCTTCAAATCGTTGCTAGTACAAGCAACGCCGGCTTCGCTCCATGAGAGAAAGTAATTTAGGTGCCGTTTTTCTGCAGCTTCAATGCTGATTACGCCAGTTCGCTCCATGGGACAGTTAATACTTTTGCATTAAAACTAACTACCCATAGCATACAACTGGTAAGAGAGGGTGCATACTCATGGAAGAGCTGCACCTTATCCATGCTCTATGCCCCGAATCGGCTGACATGTTGGTCACATATCAGATTGGTTCCCCTGCATTACATTTGTGCAATATTGAAGGGCTGAGAGCGAGAAGGGAACTCCTCTCAACCGCAAAAGACGGGATGGACGGTCATCTCAAATGTCCGCATGTCGATGTTTGTAGTCTTACATAACAGATCGGACACATCTGGTAACCAAAACCGGCTAAATTCTACTAATGTTTCGAAACAAACGCAGAGGTTAATGCAAGCACTCGAGTAATTGCTGCACCGCCATGAACCAGGCGCGCGCATTCATAGCGCAGCACGGCATGCAAAAAGAATACTGCTGCAATCTACAGACTAAGCCAAGCAAACTTTGACGTCAAGAGAACAAACTAGTAGCCCTGAAAATGTGATGCGCTGTGGGACGGCGAGCTTGTGTAACAATGTCCTCTCGGTGTCCTCGCATCACAATTTGTCAGGCTTTGTCCATATAGATCTCTCCGATTGGCTCCTGCCATGTTTCGCAGAAAACCGGGATATGCACGCAAACGGTGCGAGAATTAGTCCAGTCAATGCGACATATGTTGTAATTCTCTTTTCTTTCTTTGTTCCGTAATGTTTCATATGACGGTATCAGTCTCCTCATCGCTTAATTTATTCCATCAGAATACCAGCGAGAGAAGTAATGACACTGAATTAAAACATTAATACCTAATAAATCTGGTGGCTTGCTAGAAAGAGGGAATTTTTGCCCTGGACATAGCTGCCAGACCAGCCTCCCCAAGGGGTCTAAGCTAAGACAGAAAAGAAGAGACACTCACGCGCTGAGGGCTCCACCACCCTTGGCATGACCGTCCAACTTCGTAACAATCACGGCCCCGACGTCCACTTTCTCCTTGAAGGCACGTGCCTAGAGTCGCATGACAAAAAAGGCCCATTGATCACAAACTGCTTTGGCCACAGCGCAAAACCAGAGAGAACTTGACCAGACAAGAGGCACTGCAACCGGAATGCTGCAACACTATAACATACATAGAATGAAATAATGCCCTAGGTCAAGTATAAAAGCTTAATATTTTGTTCTAGTAGAACCTTCTCAACAGTAAAGCCAGTTTTGTCTCGTGACAAATCTTCACTACCCAAACCGGTATCTTCACACTCAAATGTCTGTAGCAGTATTAAAAACGTTCTAGAACTCTAGTCTATTACTACTATAGTCGGGCACGTAGCCAGGATTTTGTTTCAGGGGGGGGGGGGCCTGCCCATGACAAAATGCTGTACAAGGAAGCGGGGGAGAGGAGGTCCCAGCAAAATGGAAGATTTCAGGGGGGCCCGGACCACCCCCCCTAGCTACGTGCCGGACTATAGTCCTATCTTTGGTTTGAAAATAGCAACTTACTGCAATTCCCTTTCCACTGGAGACATCTTTTATCGCCGCCAAAAGGTAACCAAAAAATTATGAAGCTGTTTCTCCACAACAATTAGGACTTCGTTGTTGTACTTCATAAACTGACCGGGCATAGTAGTTCCACTACAATCAACCAGAAAAAAAATTTCAGTAGGAGCCATTGCCACAGCAATGCTATTCTTGCCATCTCAGGTCCCCTGTAGATGTGGTCCACCTCTTCGGGACAGAGTAATACCTGGTCAAGCTCTACTGCGCTAAAAGACCAAAAAAGATTACGCCGAAGATAAAAAAAGGCGGACTTACTTGAGATTCGCAAGCCTGTCCGATGGAAGCGTCCATGACGAATATGATGTTGTCTGGATTCTGAAAAAACACGAATGGTCCAGAATGAAGTACCTCTAGGAACATAAAGGCTGAACCACAAGTAAGCGATTTAATGAGCGACGAGACGGGCGCCGTAAATTTCCGGTGCTCCTCAAATTGCTTAGACGTGGTTTATACTTAAAGCAAGACAGATGTGTGAGCAAGGGACGTTCTTCGGTCCGCGGTTCTACATGGGATGACTTCCAAGGTCACTCACGGTGGCGTTGGAGACCTGCAACATCTCCTCGAAGAGCGAGTCCTCCTGCTTATGCCTCCCGCTCGTGTCCACCACAATGATCTCGAAGCCCTCGCTCTTGAACTTGTCCACGCCTTCCTGGGCTATCACCACGGGGTCGACCTCCGTGTAGCTGCACGCAGACGGAAATCACGACGTGCAATTGGTCCCTGCTTGCATCACAAGAAAACGAGCTGCACCAGCCACCCATGTCAAAATCTTCCTCTTTAAAATCAACCGTTAAAAGCTAGTTCTCCACAAGATTCACTTTATGAAAGTGCTCCCAAAAGTCTTGCATCCACACACGAACAAAAGGAATGACCATCCCCATCATAAACTAAACTCTGAGACGAGGAGAAATAAAATAACGGACAATACGACTACACATTTTAGATTTTGTGTGCTGTTGTCCATTTCTTGTTCCTGCTTGTCCAAGTGTTTAGTTTACGATGTTCCCTAACCACCTCCCTTGCATAACAACCCCTAGGTACCTACAACCTCCATTTAAGATCTTGCAACTTTACAGGACTCTTGACTTCCACTTGTGTTTGAGGAAGGACACTACCCAGAAAAAAAAAGATTTCTGCCACAAAAGTTGGTTTTGAAAAATGCCCTATTTACATCCACAAACATCTAGAGATTCTTAAAAAGTTACATTTGTTTACAGTGCAGTTATTTTTTATTAAATTATCTTCAGTCCACCAATGCTAAAGAAAAGGTAGAAGTTTGAACGCTTTAAATGCGTTTTTTTCCAATCCACCTTTTGGCACAAATTTTACCTTAATAGAACTACTGTTTCAGTATGAAACTATCGAGTCTTAATATTTGCGGCTTCTATGCCAAACATTTATGGAGCTGGTTACTATAAACCTAGATTTTGCATTTTCATGTTCCTTTATCATGAAAAATTGTAATTTGCAAAACTTAATAATTGTGAAAAAAAAAAAAATTTTTTTTTCATAAATTTTTTTTTTTTTTAAACTGGAAGATGTATATTTTTATAAATTTCTTTTCATAGTAACCGGCAATAGGTATTCCAGTATGCCATACGCCAGAAAGATATGTGGTTATCAACACCATTTCTCAACGTCAGATTCATTCAGCAGATTCCATTCGAAACTATGCTTTACTTTGTTCTGTGGGTATAGCACCTAAACATTGGTTCACAGGGCTAAAACTTTGCATGCCCTCCTTCTATATGGCTATAAACACCAGCTGAAAATATCACGCCGATTTAGCGAGCAGTTCAAAGGTTGGCATTCCCAGGCACAGGGGTGGAACTTATGAAATGTACTTGGGAGCAGCCACGGGAGCAGCTGAAACAGCTGTTTTGGAGCAGGTTGGGAGCAGCTAAAACTACGTTCTGGAGCAGGCTAGGGGCAGCTCAGATCACCTTTCATTGCACTTCAGCTTGTGTCTTAGACAAGCTCGGGAGCAATGTCAATTGTGCTTAGCAGCACATATGAACATGAGTAGCTAGGGTCCTAGGCAGATGAGATAGCAGTGTAACAGATGCGAAAACTTGAAACTTTGTGAGCCTTAATGAGGACCAAAAAGCAAGTACCATATGTTTCTGAAAATAGTGTCCTTGATAATTTCTGAGTGGCTTCCAGCTGCTCAAAATGCAAACCAGCACTGCTTATCGCACAACCCACACGTGTTCGACATAGTAATTACATGAGCGAACCACGTGACGTGCGTGACCAACGGACTTGCAGTTGCGCGGAGGAACAGGACAACAAATTTCGAAATAATACTATTGCGCAACTCAATATCAAAGCAGCAGACTTCGATTAACAAAGTTATCGTATTGGAAGCGATAAGCAGGAGCAAGGTTAAAGTATGCCGAGCAGATCTACCGTTCGCGTGAGAGCTGCAGGCCGGCAAGGTTTCGGATTGGACCGCGTTTCAGTTCTATCAAATCACGATTTATCTAGCGGGAATGCGGTTCCAACTTCTAACGATGAAGTACTAAAAGGAATATTTTGTTCATTTGTTTTCAACTAGCTGACGTCCGGATCCCGCGCCGCAGAGCCTCAGGCAATCCGATGCTTAACGACTCGACTTCACCTCGGCCGACTTGCTTAACCGCTTATGGTTGAAGAATAACAATCCAGTTGCAGATGGTGTAGCGCTTGGAATCCGACCCCCCGAGTTTTTTTGCGCGCTTCCGACTCGGGATACACAGGGAGAATAAACAGAGCAAAGGATTGCAAGGTCGACCAAGCTAAACGCGCTCATTGTTGGCAATCGAGTCGACAGAAACCGAAACTAAGACAAAATACCATTTTTTTGGCGCATGTTTTGCGATTTGGTGCATAATGGCGCGAGGTATTGGCTGTCGTGCAGTTCCCGCAACATGGCGCAGGATGGCGCAGACAAATGCGTCTGGCGCAAAATGGCGCGAATGGCACAGCCGTTCCACCCCTGCAGGTAGTGTCCCCCATCAGATATGAACATGTACACAAAAGAAAAGGTTGGCCACATAGGTACTCTTCTGCACATGCCTCTAGGCTCGAGCTTGCCCTATCGATAACACACTGAACCAGCTTCAAACATAATTTTCGCAGCCCTTTGCAGGAGCTTGGATAATCCTAAAGAAGATGGAACACTTCGTAAAATGTTGGTTGCAGTCCTCAGAGGATTTTAGAAGGTTCCTTTCAGGTCCTTCCTACCAGCTTTGACTATACAACTGTCATCTGCTTGGTCAACGAACTGAAAAGCAACTCCATGACGCAATTAAATCAGTATACCAGAAAAGTAGTTTGAAACAAAGCCTTCATCTTCTAAAATACTACAACCAACGAAAGACTAAAGGCACAAAAAAGTTGGCACGCTTACACAAACCCACTAGGAAGGTGACACGTAAAGTAACTACAATCAATGCCAATCAATGATCGACTCCTGAGTGAAGCTAGGGTTCTCACCTTCCGTAGAAGGGGATCCTAGCCTTGGTGGCGTTCTGCTTAAGCTGGTCAAAGGCACCAGCCCTGAAGGTATCTGCACAGACCAGGCACGTCTTCCAGCCTTTCTTGAGGTAGTGGTAAGCTAGCTGCAAAAACATATTGACAACGTTGAGTGGAAAACCGTAGCCACAAACTACACAGACGCCACCACCTTCTCAACGAGAATCGGAGAGACACCAAACCTTCGGAAAAATGCAGATGCACGTTAAACAATGTGGAGCTGTCAAGAATTCAGCTGGAATGCTGTTCAGCAAAAGTTTAAGTTAAAAAAAAAAAAAACGAAGTCGAAAAGGTACATCAGCTCATCTCTAAAAATCTTCAACTGGGCTTACGCTACACTGGTGCGAGTCTACATGATGTTGGAAAACACAAAACCATGCCGCCGTTACTTATTTCAAGCTTTGATCGCAACATGATGGTCTGAATGTAGAGCACCAAGTTTGCTCAATAGAGCCTGAAACTGTGTAGCCTGCATACAGCAAACTACCACTATTACATTCCTGCACACTATGCGACAGTTATCACAAAAATACCCCCCACTCCTGCCCATTTTGGTTGCATAGTCAACTTCTGAACAACATATTTTACATCTTAAAAGCTGGGGGAACCACACGAACACATGCCACTGCACCGATATTGTTGACAAAAGGCCTTCAGCTGTGGGAGACTATGGGATTGCTTGATCGTGCCAATCCCTAACATTCGTACGCAACGCCGCTTTATGCAAATGTCCTACCCAAGAAAAAGTATACCTCCAAAACCGAAGCCCACCTTGGTGCAAGTCGTGGTCTTTCCGCTCCCCTGAAGACCCACAAACATTATGATGTTGTTCTTGCCCTTGGTTGGCTGCCATGCCTTCACGCCAGGATCAACGAGCTGCGGCCATTCAGATCGGAGAAAAACACTCTTCAGCACATTTGTCCACATGCATGTGCTGCTTATGGTGCTTCCAGATAGACAGATGGCTCACAACTCTGTTTCACAAACGCAGAGGTGATCAACGCAGCTAGAGAGAAATTTGAAAAGAAACCTCATAGCTAAGTCACTTAGCCTTAGCTGAAGATCTCTCTTAGCCAAACATTAGCTGCGATCAATGGGCTTCCAGGCAGTTTCTTTTCAACTTAACTTAAAACATAAAGGGTATCCAGTGGCTGCCATACATCTGTCTGCTTGAGCTAAGCAGGTGAGGTCAGCCAACTTGGACAATATCACAACATGTATATTATACCATTAGCACTGTCACTCTTGGCAGATGATAGACTAACACTACATTGAAAACATGATGAACAATGACAGACCAGCAAAACTGTACATTCAGCGACTGCATGCCGCTATACATGGCCAGCACGTGACGTCGTCCAAAGAGCGCTCCGATAGCCACCAGAGAAGAGGGGAAGAAAAAGCTCCTCTCTTACTAGGATCCTTTTTTGTGCCTCCCAGATTTTTCACAGATGTCGCTACTCTCCTCCCAGAAGATCATAGAAGATTAACCAGTCACTCGAAATTCTAACAAAAGCAGGGTCACTCTCTCCCTCTCACATGGTGGTCAAAAGTATGTGATGTCGGTGCAAGCCATGTATACATCAAGTACATGAACAGCCATAGCCAATTTGAATATACCCAGGGATGACTTCTTGACAGAATGACCCTAATCCTCAAAATAAAGAAACATAACATTGAAAAAAAGAAAAAGAGGAAAAAGAGGAAAAAGAGAGAGAGAGAGAGAGAGAGAGAGAGAGAAAAGGAAAGGGGGGGGGGGGGGGGGCAAGAGAGCCAGAAAGGGTCTGCTAGCACTCAATTCAATGTAAAAATGCACATTTCTTAAAGTTCTTGCATGAGAACAGGTGGCTTTCTCTCACAAATTTAAGCAAGGGGGAAGCAATGTTGCCAGCACAAACGTGCCAAATTAAATAGCATAGAAAAAGTCTCCCGTTGGTATGTTAAGCAAAATATGTATAGCCCGATGAAACCAAATCGACCAATAATGTTTATTTTTTATAAATTTATGTCTGGAATAAGTAAAGGCTCTTTCGGTTTTCTTCCACTTTGCTTAATACTGATTTCAGAATTACGGTATGGGCATTCCAACATGGACGAGACACGAGGCTTCATCGAGAGAAAATGCAGGACGGCAGAAATGAAACTGTAAAAAGGAAAGGACTTGGCCAAAACGGGACATTTGATCATCCTACTTCTCGGGGCAATGCAGACGAAGTGAGCAAATGCATCATATCCTTTCTCTCACCTGCCAGTGAAAGTTATACACGACTAAACTTGTGTTCTGAATACCAGCCTCAGACTGAACAACTTCATTATAATCTTCTCTTGTACAATGTAGCGGAATACACATATACAAGCGATTGCTTCGACGCATGTTTCAGTTTGAGAATTGATCCCACGAAGGGGCCTCCAAAAACAAGCCTTCCCACACATACTTTCCGCCGCAACATTCCAGAACAGTTTCCACAAACATATAAGCTCCATAGTCACGAATCCTGAGAAGTTTGTTCAACAGTAGAGGGTTGAGAGAGCTGTGAAAAAAGTCTCGCAACTTTGGCTCAAGATGCATACGACACAAAAAATGGAGCACTGATGTCACCTTGATGAGCTCCTTGAACACGGCAGACTGGATCATGCGCCTCTTGTTGAGCCCCGCCCCCATTTCATCAATGTCAATCGCGGATCTAAAAAGAAAGGAAAACAGGCCTGTTAACTTGCAGCATGTCTCTCCTGCACTCTTGCCAGATGCAGGCATAAATAGTTTTACTCTTTAAGGGGTACACATTCAGCAACAAAGGCAATCCTACTGAGAAATTCCTCCAGAGGAGACTTGACGTGTGCTAGAAGTCGCAAACTAGCTCCACATCGTAAGCCGTGACCTATTCTGCGATTCCTTCGCGTCTACTCAATCTGTTTATCGGCCACATTAAATGTACACATGCAGCACATTCCATGTGCAAAGAATGTTGAAACTTTCACATGATCTCTGCCAGCACAAAGTCCGAACATGCAGACTTATAAGTGGTACAAATATAAATTTTCCACTTTCATCACATTGTTTGATTACTCGCTTTCTGCATATTTTATAGTGAATTCCACTCGCAGATCTCGAGCCATTGGGAGCACCGCATATTCTGCTTACAGATCTGGCTCCAGTTGGTCATCTTCCGCTCAAAGATCTCTGGCAGTGCCCACCCTGTGGAACGCCTCCAACCCCGCCTAACTTGATCCGCGGGATTTTAGAGATCTTGGCAGATGTTGACGGAAGCGCGCTACGTCATTTCCTTTAACTCAGCGGTGTACAGATGCAACAAGGTCGCCGGACTGCCGTCGAGTCGGATCTGTTTGGATGCGTTGGTTGTTTTTACGCGGGATTTTGACGGCTCGAACGCTTCGACCTCGCGTAGAAAGGAGATGCAAAGCCGGGATTGAAAGGTGGCACATCGCAAGCGCTGACATCCGTAATCATGAGAGGAAGAATGAGAAAAAGAACGACAGAAAATCGGAAGGAGGCAGACGCAAGGTTAGGCCTGTTCATTTTGCCGCCACTGATTGGTTACATTTCTACAGTGCAAGCCACCGGCGTTTTCTCGTGTGCAATTTGTAGGCAACGTGGTCGTTGCCTACAAATTAGGCAACGACCATGCAAGGTTTGTTACCTCTGTGTTTATTAAAGTCTTACCAGCAATCTGAAACCTACTGATGGCAATCGCTGTGCGTTCCTTGCCACTTCAAGGTACCCAAAAGGTATGTGACGGTGGCGAACGCGGACGTTTTCCTCGTTATTTGTGACACGGCTATTTTTGCCCGGCCTGTGTCGAGTGTTATTTTTGCAGCTAAGCAGTGACAGTTGTCACAGGTCGTCGGAAAGATCAGGCGGCTGAGGCGTGGGTCGGCTCGTCAAGTTCGAGCAGCGGCCATTTTGAATGGCCGACCAAGTCAGTGGGTCACTCCAAAAATGCGAGTCCACCTTCTGCTCGTCGATTCGGAGCGAGTCCCACGGAGCGTAATTTTGCCTCCCTCGCGGATTTCGGGAAGCGCTCCGGATCTACCAGTGAAATTCACTATTAGAAAAACATTCCCTACCACACTATTTTGATGTACAAGTAAAAAAGAATGGAAAGTTGGTGCTGCACCCAGCGATTACTGACTTTACGAGGTAGCCGGTTCACAGGTGTGTGGCGAACAGAAAAAAGAGACATACCTGACATTTTCTCGTAGTTGCTTGACCAGTTTAATGTTGATGTCGGCTTCTAAGAGAGCAGTACATATCTCCTTTAGCATAGAGTCAAGCACCTGGAACAGACAGAATGCACAGACATCAGAAGCAATAAAGAAGTCTTGGGAGATCGCCCACATCAGGATTCGTACACCTACAATTTCTATGTGCCCACAAATCGCAAGTAGGGTTTAGTCACAGGGTTTCATTCAGATGATATTTGTCTCTCATCTCACTAATAGTAGTAAGTGGTGAGGGTAGCAGAAAGGCAGAACATGTTGGCCACTCCTATGATGGGGGCGAGTTAGTTCTCATCTGACTACGCACAAAAGATCCCGGTGAAAGCTCATTGCTAACACGCTCTCGCGACAAAAAGGCAGAAATATTGCCCACGAAGCTAAATCGGTAAAGAGGCCTTATACAAAATCAGTATATCATACACCCTAAGTCGTGCTTTAGCTGCTTTTGGGCTGAAAAGATCAATGACACGGCCTTGGCAATACCAATATAGACCTAGAAAATTTTTGGTTCGTGCAAGTACGTTACAAAAAGTGGTAGTGATATTTGAACATGTCTAAATGCAGTTACATTTGTTTCAAATGCTTATTTTCGTCAGGTCATTAAAGCAAAGCGGGAGTAATAGAAACTTCCGAAATGGTTCCGACATCGTTTGCATTTCGTCGCAGCTCTGCGACTTGTACCTCGCATGAACACTTAAAGCTTGCAATCTCAAGCTCCTGATTGGAGTAAAGATGCACGCATCGAAGATAGAAGTGCGGCGCGTTAGGCACATTAGTAATATGATCAATATGCAAGGTGACAAATGAAACCCCATAAGCCTACGCGTGATGCATGAAAACGGTTGAGGTGGTCGGGTTCTACCTCCTTGTTGATGATGGTCGCATTGCTGAGCGACCGTAGAGCATTGGTGATCTTGCGTCCCAAGTCGGCTAGAACCATCTTGCCGGAGTTGTGGGGCCCCTGAAGCTTGAGTTTTCCGAAATCACAGGTACGAAGCGAAAAAAACAGCTGTTGACGACATTCGTGCAAGAACGCTGCGTGGAGCAAAAGCGCCGGATGTCACGTGACCGAAAGTGAAAACGGTTCCGGTTTCGGACTTTGCCACCTGGCGTTGGTAGTTGGTTATTTGTTTTCCTATTTTTTTGTCAACCCTCATGAATTACAATTTTTATACAAAAGTGTTAGAAAAACTCAGTTTATGTTATACAGTAACTGATAAAATTGCAATATTTAAAATAAAATTGCGAAAATTTTAGGTTTTAATAATTTAACATAGAAAAGCTAAAAACACAGGTTCCAACCTGAGCGTAGTAAGATGGCGATGTTGACCAACAACGCCGCTTTTTCCTTTTTTTTATGCATTCTCTCGTGCTTCCCCCTCGCCCTTTCCTCTTTCCCCCTCACTTATTCTCTGTTTACGTTTGTCGAAGTTGAGCGAGCAGGCGGTCGGGCGGCTGCGTGTGTGGTGTATCGTAAAGTCACTTTATTGTACTCAACGCCTGCCCGTGTTTTCTGTAACTGGTGCAGAGCAGTTGTTCAGTGGCCCCGACAGTCGCAACTAGCCGAGTCTGCCTGAAGTTTTCGAGGGCATGTCCAAAAAGAGCAACAACAAGGTCTGCTGCGTGTTCGGGTGTCCTTACAAAGCCATCAACGATGAGCCCAGACACTTCTACTGCATCCCTTCCAAGCCGTACGAAAAAGAGCGGAGGCAGCGTTGGATAGCGGCCATCCGCCGAGCGAAGTAGGTATACACGCCGAAAAGAACCCTTTGGGCGTTCATTGAAATTTGAATGAGCGCACGTGACATGTTTGTTTTGCCGTTTGTCTGCAGAGAGCGAGCAGCTCTGTGTCATGCAATCGAGACTGCTGTAGATAATCCAATGTGTGCGGAATATAGCAAGCATGCTGCCGCATAGCTTCTTCCTCAAACGTGCTAACACCTCTCCCTGCACTTTCCTCAAGACAGTTGTGTTCGGGGAATCTGACAGCACGCTGCTCAAACATAGCTGAACCTAGTTTGCTTTATTTTGCTACGCATCGAATAGAGGATAACAATGTATGGCGGCTATATTGTTGTCAGGTGTCGTCTGTCACTTCAATCATTAAAAAAAAGCGAGCAATGAACTTGAATTTGGGCTGGTCCAGAAATGCCAGTTTGTGCACTTCGTAGCCCTGCATACAATGACGCCTGAAAAGTTGACCACGAAAGGGTTACATGCGCTGAGCAAGTTCATATCTTCACGGCGTCGATTTCCTGTTCTGCGCTGCTCTTACGCATCCTTTTCCCCCCCTGCGTATTTGCAGGCCGGGCGGATCCCAATGGGTGCCAACCAAGCACTCGCGGGTCTGCAGTTATCACTTTGTCGGGGGCTCTGTGAGCAACGTGATGAACCATCCGTCCTACGTGCCCACTATTTTCCCCAATGGCTCCCGAAAGAGCGGCGCATCCGCTGAAGTCAAGCTGGCCAGACACAACAGGTAACGAAGCTCTTGAAAGTTACTCTCAAGAAAGTAATAGAGTTGCAGTTACGTTCAGTGTGACTGTAACGTGTCTATACCTCATTTCACCCTACGATGGGCCGCAGCAGACGCCACAAGCCATCCCAGCCAGTCCAGCGCTGTGAATGTGTCGCGCAACATCCCGTGCATTGCTTCTTCCTCCCGAAGGTCACCCGACACTTACAAGGCATTGAATTGGCTTTGATGGCTCGTAGTGTCGTCTGTGGTTCGTCGTAAGATGGAACCAAGTTCAGCCAATTGAACAGGAGCCTTCTTGATAACTCAGTAGTAGTAGCCGACATCTTCAGGTCCCGAATAAGTGAATATCGACAGTGTAGGAAGAGCTTGGGAAATTTGTATTTGGCACTTAGTTCACGGCGTAGTTCGAGTCGATTGCAACAGGTGCCACCAACGTCGGAACTAAATTGGTGCGAATTTGTGCATTTCGTCGACAGAATTTTTAAATGTGTCCGTAGTCCATCGGAACCAAGTCTCAAGTTGTTCCAAGAAGGAAACCGATTCTGTTACCCCCCCTGAAATTTCGTTGCAGCTTGGGCAGCCGAAATAGGGACAAATTACGGCAACTCGAGTACTTTTTAGTTGTCACCGAGCAAGTACTTCCCAACACCGTATTAATTATTTGTTTGGTTTCTCATCGTAGGCCCAACTGGGCCAAGACAGGGCTGGCACGCGAAATTTGCGTCACACCCTCACTGTGCGACTCTCGCTCAAACGCAGGTGGCGGCAGAGGTTAGAAGCCAAGTCTCAACTCAGCAGTCCCCAAACCACTCCGGTCACAAACGGTCTCCGCGAAGCTGCGGACGAACGCATGGACGATGTGACAGAAGTGGCATCCACCGGTCTCCCGGTAGTGCGTGCTCTCCAGCGGAACAGCACGGTTAGTATTGCTATGGTGCCTGGAGCACGTCTCTGACCGTTGTCCTTGCCACATCCTCGAAAGCGGTCCTTTGAATTATGCCCAATGACGTTGTAGAGGCGACATGTTCCTGCCCCGTCGCGATCCTGGCGGTCAACAGGAACCAAAGCAGGCACGATGTGGTACACCACAACGACGCCGATTCTCGTGTCCGCTCACCTTTTTCGCCAAGATCGGCTCGGGCGCGTCATGCTGTCAATGTCGCGGGCTTTTACTTTCTGTAACGAGCATACAGGGGGCCAGACTCCCGCTTTCTAAAGGTAGCACGGTTAGGGCTGCGCTTAACCAGCACACGCACTGACCTTACTTCATCCACGTTTGTTACGGAGAGAGCTAATCAGCAAGAACCAAGCAGCTGAGAAAACTCCCCTCGATTGCGGATCTGGATGCCTTGTGGCGCTTTTCTTACATGCAATTTTTCCACTTAGGACTCCTAGCTTTTTACATTACCTCTTCGTTGCGCATAAATTGGCTTTTGCATAAATTCGCTCGATTGCGCATAAATTAACTCGTCGAACCTCACCGGGCAAATGCCTCTGCAGGGACAAGGGTCAGCTCCTACCTCGAACCAGGCCATTCGTGAAAACAGTGTTCGGAGCGGCGCCTGCGTACCCCAAGCCCTGGTACGAGCGTGCGTGGATGTGCAGGCGAGTCGGTGTTGAACCTGCGATTGTCGTTGGCAGTTTGTTACAAGTACTGCGACTAGAATGCGACGCCTACGGAGTTTAGCGAAGCGTCGGCTACCACTTCGAGATCCGACTAGTAGTGAGGGCTTCCAGATGTTCATCACTGCTTGCATTTGAAAGAGTTTGTTACAGCTTGAAAGAAAGAGCAGCAAACTATAGTCCGTCCTGTCGTAACAAGCGGCGAACTATGGCCGTAGCGAGCAAACAAAATTGTTGAAACGAGTTGCGCGCCGATACTTTGTAGGCCAGCACTCCGGTGGTATGTTGTCACTTGCCTCGCATTGACACAGTTATAGGCTTGCAGAGGCTGTAGCGTCCACCGTTTGCCAAGTTGTGCTAAAGCAAAGCATAGGACAACCAACAACGTTTAAGTGGCAACCTGCAAGCAGAAGGGGAAAACCTCACTCCTCCTTTCCCTCTCGCCACAGTTTTACAACTTAGCACTGCATGAGTAGGGTGATTAAAACGTGAGGAGGAAAACAATAATAATAAAAGGGATTTTCACCCAGTAGAAACATTTTTAAAGTGCCCTTTTGCAAGGCTTTCTTTTTTAGAGCGCAGTTCTTAGGCGCTTGTTTCCAGCTTGAGTTGCGTCGCCGTTGGCATAACCGCATGGGTGCATTATGGTAAATGTCCCATAACGCAACGCGCAGGGCTCCTGATGTCACGAGGCTCCCGCGCGGTGCATTAGGGGACATTTCCCATTATGCAACGCGTGGGGAGGAGGAGCTATTTTCTCGCTAAATAGGAGGGGAGGAGGGGCATACCCTCCCCTTCTCCTCCTCACGAGCTGCGCTCTAATTCGGCATTACAGAAAATTGTAAACGTCTTTCTTTTTTTTTTATGACATCTTTTTTTTTTTTTTATGTTTACACAGCCTAGCAGTTTATAATGGACCTTTTGCCGAATCACCCAAGCATCAAAAAGAATATGAACACAGAGCAAGTTGGCATAGATGACTTGAAACACGAAAGAATAAAACACATGGGGACATGTTTTATTCTTTCGTGTGTATTCTTTCATACGCATAGGGACTGTCTGTGTCCTACCCTGTGTTTTATTCTTTCGTGTTTCAAATCAAAAAGAATACCGACGTAGGTACACGCACTGCACGTGCTGGTGTCTTCTCTACCTGTTCGAAACCTAATATCTAAAACAAACGGCACTCTGCGCACGCGCTCCTTGGACACTTTTTTAAATTATTTACTTTGAATCTTTTCTATGGGGAAGGCGAGCACGTGCAGCGCGTGTACTTACGTTCCGAACATTTTCTTTGATGCTTGGGTAGTTTAGCAAAAGGTCTATTGGGTGGATGGAACACTCGGGGTCAATTCAGTTTATACGGAACATACTGCAAGCACAGTTTTATCTCTGAGCAGTCTAAAAAATATAGAAATCTTCTTTGTCATAGTCCAGACACGTTCGACAACAGTGTCCGCGATCTTCGCAGGAACCCGCCGGCGGCAATACGAACATCGAGTGCACACCCGACCTGGAATTCATCATCGGCGACATCGACTACACCCCTCCAACGCCTATGAAACGTGCAGCCCACGTCGACCAATCCACGCAGGTGACACCCGCACAGCCCACGATCCGCGTTGACCAATCGGCACAGGCTACGCCGTCGGTGCAAGCCGCATACTCGGGCCCCGACCGACGCACGTGCTGGTTCGGCGGCTACGAAACCATCAGAGATGTGCCGGATGTGATGCACGACATGTGCGGCGTCAGCCCCCACTCCTTCCAGATCCTGCGGATGGCGCTGCCGACCCAGCGGCTGCGCCTGTCCGACATCACCGTCGAAGACAAGCTGGTTATGGCGCTGATGAAGCTCAAGCTGGGCATCGCCTTCTCCAGCCTGGGCGCGCTGTTCGCGATGCACCGCAGCACGGCGGGGCGCATATTCTTGGGCGTTTTGGATGCGCTCAACGAGGCGACGCGTGACTGGATTGCGCCGCCACCGGAACGCCCGGCGCCGGCAGCGTCCCCCGAGTGGCTCAAGCGGGCGTGCCCGGACTGCCGCTATGTCGCGCACTTCGTTGAGGTTCGGACAGAGCTTCCGCCAACGACGGAGCAGCGGCGGGCCATGTCGGCGAAGCTGATAAAGAACCACATGCTCAAGTTCCTCGTCGCGTTTGCGCCAAACGGCGACATCTGCTTCGTGTCCAAGGGCTACGGCGGCCGCACATCGGATGCGTCTGTGGTCGCGGAGTCCGGGTTTCTGGACTTGGTCGACGCAGGCGACATAGTCGTGAGCCGCGACGGGTTTCTGCGCGTCGACATAGCTCCGGATGGAACAAAGTTTGTGTCGCTAACATCTCCCGCCGCGACAAAGAAGTCGTCACGTCGGCGGACAGAAAGCGAGGAGAGTGAGGAGGACGATGAATCGTATGGTGGTCTACAGGTGCGCGAGCACGTTATGCGGATGGTTCAGCGAATCAGGGTGTACCGGATACTCGAGAGCCGTCTGCCGGCGGCGCTCATCGCGCACTGCGATGCGATCTGCGAGGTCTGCTGTGTCCTCGCAAACCTGCAGCCCAACCTGTTCCGGCCAACGACCACAGCATGCGGGTTCTGAACGCAACGGCGTGGTAGAGGTTGGCGCGCTGCTGCAGTCGGTGTGTGCGAGAGGCTGGATGACTTCAACGGTGCGTGCAGTGTGCAAGAAGTGTCAATCGAGTCGATGACTTTCGTGCAATGGCAGCCATGCTTACGAAGGTGTGTGATATGTCAAACTTTGGCAGCACTTCAGTTAGTTTGGATCGCTTATAAATTTTCCACATTAAAATACAGTGTTTTTAGATAATCACGTTTGCAAGTCTGAGGACGTCACAGCTCTGCAAAAAGAAAAGCCGAATGTTACCACTATTCATAGCTCCACTCGGTAACACCGTATGTAAACGTTCAAGTGCACTGAGCCATATTTCACTGGCATCAGTTTCAGTAGAATCATCTCGGAGTCATTTTCATTACGCCACCTCCACGCATCGTGGGGACTGTTGTCTTTCTGCATGAGCGATAACCCTGCTGAGGGTCTACACGAAGCGGCATGAGCTGTCTTGTGAACTGGCACCTGCCTCCTATGAACCGCAGTTATACACCAACTCATGTTTACAAACAAACCGGAGCGCCCCTAGCGGACGCCACCGGCGCCGCGCATGCGCGGTGGATGGTGGGCAAGAAGCCTGCCGTCGCCCATAAACAAACCATTGAATTGCGTTGTTGTCGGCGTCGGTGGGAGTCCCCGTGCTCTTTTTCGCGTTGGAATTGTTGATTCTACGTCCTCCTAACAATGTCTGACTACTTGTGCGGCTTCAGCAAAACTAACGAGGCAAAACTTTGCGTGAATAATGTGACGTGTGGCGATTCATTTCACGTGGACGCCGCAGAATGGGCGCTAAAGCCAGACTCTCGCGATGAGATTCTGCTCGCTATTTTTAGTCGCGACGTCGCTCGGACTGCAAAAGCGTGGATTGTAGCTGAGATGGTGGACATCGATACTGAAAACCGCAAGTAGAATCGGGCATTACAAGTCGGTGATGGCCACTGGTGATCAACATCTTCTTGCATCTGTTTACACTTAGCCTACTTACCCCAACCAACCTTCAAAAGTGTTTTGGGGCCTGCACTTAGTTCTTTCACAACGTTTGGTTTCACAACGTTTGGTTTACGGGCCGCTGTCGTTTGAACGAGCTGACGACAAAAAGCAGCCAAGTTTGAAAAAGCAGACGACAGTTCGAATGCATGCACAATGGGGTAACGGGCAAGAAGCACCGCGTCCCGCGTCAACAAACCATTCGAATGTCACGTTGTCGGCGTTTGCGTGAGTCTGCATACTCTTTTTCGGGTTTCTGCGTCGTCATCGCAATGTCTTTCTTACCACTTTAATCGCCTGAGCGAAATTATCAATTCTCGTTACACCGCTAAACTTTCCGTAAATAATTTGACGTGCGGCGATTCATTCGCGTGAACGCCGCAGAATGGACGCCAAAACCATGATGAGATTCTTCTAGCTATTTTTGGACGCGAAGTCGCTCGTGCTGCAAAAGTGTAGAAGGTAGCGACGATGATCGACGTCGATATTGAAAATCGGAAGCGGCAACAGACCAAGCGTAACAAGTCGGTGATGGCCACCGGTACCAATGATCAACATCTTGTATCTACTGTTTACATCGAGCCTACTTAAGTCTTTTGAGGCCTGCAATTACTTCTTATAGCAATTACCGGGTCAACGTTTGGTCTACGGGCCGCTTTTGTTTGAACGAGCAGACGACAAAAAGCAGACAAGTTTGAAAAAGCAGACGAAAGTTTGAACGATCAGGCGGCCGTGTGAATTTGAAGACGCACTGAACCCGTGGGTGGTCCGGACAACTTGGCGGTTTTCTCTCGTTCATATGGAACAAAGCAAATACATCTGGCGACCACAAGGTGTTGCCCGCACACGCAATCGTAGTTCGACAGCGTCTGGTTTGCCCTTTTCACGGCTACAATTCACGTTCTCGGACGAACGGAGGGGGCAAAAACACATGAAAACTGATCTTCAAACCTTTCCAGGCTCTCTTGGTACAGCCCCCGTCACAGCATTTTGATGAGAAGGCAGGTTTTTTGTCTCGTCTCTTTCCGAGAGAACACAGGAATGCATGTCTGGAACAGCGACTTCTGCCCACCGCTCCAGACCGGAAGTGCGTCCGGCGCGCCACCACCGCGACGTGACGTAGGAGAGTTGAGTTGGTGTATAGCAGCATCACATATGCATGGAACACTGAATGGTATCGGTCTATCGTCCTTAATCAGCAGAGCTTGTGTACGTCACTCACAGTTTCACTCGAGCAGTTCGGGTACAGAGAATGCACAAATTGAAAACATAACTGCTATAAAACAGATATTACTGTCTACTTGTAGCTCTATACAGTTACAGGTAAGCAAGACATTCCCGTGCTCCTAACACCCCAAGATAAACTAGATTTACAAAACCTAACACTGCCAGATTGTAGTGCTAGCAGTTGGGATATGATGTGGAGGCGGGTGACGTCTCATACTTCTAACCAAGGGCGGACGCAGGTATTTCTTGGGGGGGGTCAGGTGTTGGTCAGGGTATCATGTTTAAGACTCCCCCCCCCCCCCCCTTTTCCCGTTTCCACTCCCTAAATTTTTACACATCCAGAATTCAAGAGGGGGGTCAGGACATCCGGACCCCCCCCTCTGAATCCGCCCCTGCTTCTGACCTATGCTTCTGCGTCTGTCCGGTTGTAACAACTGTCATCTGTTCCGTTACGTCTTCCCTGTCATAGCCAAAATCTGTTTCTTCCCTGCCATCTTTTCTACTTTGGTAACTGAAACTTTTGCATTTCATCCCACTGGCACCATGCTTTGATGCAGTGTAAGCTTTGGACCATGCCGGTGGAAAACAGACGGCTAATTATTTTCCGCACGACACATTATACTACTTGGCAACCTTTATTACGGAGGAATTGGGCTCGCGAATGAACGGTGCGCGACGTCCGATAATGTTCCCCGGTCTGTACGACTCTGGTCCCGTGACTGCCGTCTGCGTGACGGAGCATTCACTGCAGAGGTCCACGGGTGCAGTAGAGCGACCACAGTTTGCGACTCAGATGCTCCCCAGAGATGGCGGCAATCCTGGAAAGGAGTGATGGTTGCAGACCAGTCAGTTCGTCTTCGTAGACTGAACGCAGAAATATGGTGAAAACCCTCCCCACATACCGCCAAAATATTTAAAAGGTTTTTATTAGTGCAAAAATAGATGATGCATCGCCAAACGCTCATTTTCTGCTCAAATGTGGCGCTAGCGGTTCAATCTAGATGCCAAAGTTTCAGAACTGACCGCAATCTTATTAAAAAGTAATGAGAAATTTTTTGAAAATTTAAACGAAAAAATGGGGTCTATTTTTGGTACCCGACGCCATACAGCTCCGTATATATGAAAACTCCGCCGGCCGCCATTTTCCAGTTGAAAGTTTCAGAAAATCGCTCATAACTTTTCAATAACTTAACGGTTACAGTCTGTGACAAGTTTGGAGTAAAGCCCACCCCTTTCCACTTTAGCAGGGCAAACGCTGGAGAGGAGGTCGCCTCTTCTGCAGCGTTTGCTCTGCTAAAGTGGAAAGAGGTGGGCGGAGCTTCCCCTCAACTCTTGACCTGTCACCAGCTATAGTTCTGAAACTCTGGCATCAGTGTGTGTGGCAATGCAGTTAATTTTTAGGGTGAAAGAAAAAAAAACTTATCCTTTTGGGGGTGATGCCCTGTACTTTGTATCTAGACTTACATGTTTTTGGGGTTTAATTTTTTTTTTTAGGCGTTTTTAGGTTTTTTTTTTTTTTTTTCAGGTTCCTTGTGTTTTTTGGCATAGAACCAAAATTTGTTGTTTATTGGGGCTCATACCAAAGAAAACAGGATGCAGGCGTAGGATCCTCGAACCAACAAGGAACATATGCCAGTGACCCAAATTTACTTGGAAATCGTCCTGGTATTGGTAAGAGAAAGAGACGAGGGATCCCAAAGACCTTGCACGGGGCGCTAAGAAAGTTTCCGGTCTCCGTGTAAAAAGTATTGGGTGAAGTAATTGTAAGAAACAAGTTTTTGGACCCTACTTCCCACACACATTTAGCGCAAACACCAAGATACTAAGGACTCGTAAAAATTAAATAAATGTTTCCGAACTTTGACGCACCAGGGGGGAGGTTTCGGTTGTTTCCGTCTAATAAAAGCAACCGCCGGACTTCAGACTAAAAGAAGCAAAACAAACCGATTTCTCACCCAGAGCCCTTGGACGTCGTGGCCTTGCTCTTCAAACTGAAGTCCAACCGTTCACACGCTGCCAACAGGCTGCAGAGAAAAAAAAAAAAAAATGCGAGTCCAGACACGTGCAGAAACAAAGGCGAGTGAGGCACTTGCCCTAGAAACGAGATCGCAAAGTAACCATTCGGTCCGAGAAATCCGACGCAGACGGCTTTATCGGAGCCGACAACGAACTGCACGTCGCAGACGACGCAGACCTTGCCGGAAGTACAGGCGTCTGCCACATCAAGCGCCGCCGCTGCGACACCGCCGGGATCGCCGCTGGTGGCGGCACGACGGTTCTATGACGTCGTCGGGGTGTAAATCGAAGAACCGCCTTTTAGGACGCGGTAAACAGACCAGTCTGAGATGCGCTCCAGGCAATGACTGGAAGGCAGCACCCTAGCTGCGAAGGCAGGGTGTGAAAGTTTAGGCCCGGTCGGTACGTTACCCTGAACGAAACTCGAAAGCGACTTCTCGAAGACCTTGTGTTGCGGAGCAACGTCCTCCATCGGTAGCAGGCGCAGAAGGTCGGCCACTTGACACTGTGGCTTGGAAAGGGCACGAGGAGTCTTCGAGCTCGTCCAATGCAGAGGGAAAGGCCGCACAGTCGTTGCCGTCGGACAATAATGGCACCATGTAAATGCAGTGGCCCGTAGGTAGGCATTTGTCTCGCACATTCTCTTTGAATCGAGTCTATAAGAGACCCTCAAACCCACGCACCAGATCCGAGCCGCCGTGACTGACCTTCCGTTGCTCGCTCACGCACTTGTGTCTGCTTACGACAGAGTTCTTGCGATCCCTTACGACGAAAGAACGCACTGGCACATCGGCGTCACCTTTGAGGTGACCTTGGAACTGCATTTCCCCAGGGCGAAGGCTTTGCGGTATTTGGGGGATCAAATATATGCACCATATACGAGAAACTGTCGTAAGTTTTTCGAGCCAAAAGTGAAAGAATGATGCGCGAAAAAATATAGGAAACATACAGAAGTTTTGCAAGGCACTTGGTCGCAAGTGTGCAAACCAACCAGCCTTGAGGGTTCAATAACCCGTTGCGAGACCACGGCGACTGAGCGTAACGGAAGGTAGAGGTCGGTTATGGTTGCCGTCGTGCCCAGTTGCCGAAAGGCGTCTATCTATATCAATAAGCGGCCTACCGACGACAGCTAGTGCCATCTATGAGTCGAGGTATCCAGTAGCCGGCACGAACCTGCTGCCAACCGAGGGCAGTGGCCTTCTGTCCAGATCGAAAGAAGGAACACATACCTGGCCGGAGACGGGTGTTCTTGCACCAGCCGCAACACCTTGTCCAGCGAGAAGCCCTTGATCTGCAACAGGTGCTTGGCCAACATCTCGCGTACCTGCAGACCCTGCGCACCAAACAAAATCTTCTCGAGAGGGAAGTCGACCGCTCGGCGGATTTTGATTGGGTGTGGCTGTGCGAGTGTTCGGAAACGTAAACCGGCTGCCGCCCTACCCTAGCCTAGATCGGGAATTCCCAAATTGGGTTTCCTGGAGCACCCTCAGGGGTCTCCCAGCTCCCAAACTTTCTCGATTGTCCCTAACACCAAGTAAAGTGTTTTACAGCGATTGCTGTCATGGGCTCTTCCCACCCCTGAAAACAATGTCTGTTGTTGATGTTATGGTTAGCGTAGGGTGTCTGTCTTTGATGTTGCCAAATCCTCGAAAAAGATTGCCCACCACCCGCGGGAATCAAACGTGCATCCGCCGTGTGCGAAGCAGATGCGTTCCCATCAAACTATGGCACAGCGTTAACAACCCGGTCTATATTTTGGGTTTCTGTAGAACCGCCTTTTAGGACGCGGTAAACAGACCAGTCTGAGATGCGCTCCAGGCAATGACTGGAAGGCAGCACCCTAGCTGCGAAGGCAGGGTGTGAAAGTTTAGGCCCGGTCGGTACGTTACCCTGAACGAAACTCGAAAGCGAAAACGACAATTTGTTATCCGTTATTTCTTTTTTTACAGGTCGCGTGCAGTGGGCATGGGGTATGCCCACTGCACGCGACCTGTAAAAAAAGAAATAACCGATAACAAATTGTCGTTGAAGCACCGTCAATGCCAAGAGCTCACGCCAGGAGACACGCCCTAGAAAAAAAAAAGAAGCAAAAGCGTCTATTTTGTTTTCAAGGCTTTTGTTCACGCACGGTGTGTGAATGCGGCGCCGATGCTCGAGACTTCGTAGCGACGTGTCTCAGCTATCGCTGACCGTATTGTGGTGCTGCCTCATCGGTAGCGTCCGTCGCATTCGAATTTAAACCGAAGCAAAGCATGGACTCGGCTGCCTTCCCCAGCATACGAAGCTGGAGGAAGCGAAGGAACGCGAGGTTTAAGTCGGGATCGACGTAGCAGACGACTCGGCCGAAGTCTCGGCTCCGGAACCGAGTCGCCGTGCGGCCCCCTCAGCTCGGCACCTTGTTCTTAATGGAGCTGGCCGAAAACTCCTCCCAGGTGGGCTTCCCCGCGAGAAGCTCCGAAGGCGGGCGAGATGCAACCTGCCGCTCCAGGTGCCTGCTCACGAGGCCAAGGAACCGTGCGGTGTCGGCCTGGTCTCGGGTGGCCTTGATCAGGAAGCCGTCGGAGACCTGGGACGGTCGGACGACGAGGTTGCGCCACTCTCCATGTGCTCGTCTACATTTGGTATTGTACGCAATATGTACTGCACCGCTGTACTGAACTCCCCGGACAAAATGAGCTGCAACGCTCGACCAGACCTTTTGCCACGCCTGCTGTCCCCACAAGCCCCACTACATTTCTAATTGTCAAAGGTTTAAAAAAATGTGACCTCAACTGCGTTTCAGACCCGTTCCCGATAGAAACTTCTCTACAACTGGGTAGGAATGTGAAAGAAACGTAAATGGCCGTTGCAGCTCAAATTGTCCGCGATGTTTCACCGCGCTATGTGCAGTACTGGTTTAGTCCAGATAGTGTATGTTACATACACATGATCTACAGTATACTAAATAGTGTACTGCATACTGTAAAACATAGTTCCTCAAACTGGACTCTCAGAAACCCAGTGGTTTTCCCAGAGACCCCCCCCCAGGGATCCTTCAAACACCCGAATTCTATCGACTCTCCCTGCTCGGAAGAGTGCTCCCGCAAGTTAAGCATTATTTAAGCGTATCCGAGCCACACACTCCTCACTATGTGCGGCATCGTGAACCGAGTCTGTGGGCTTCCAACTGCTTTATTGCAACAATGCCGAGAGGGAAGGAGATAGGTGATCCTAGGCTGTTGTTCAAACAAGACTGGCATTCCTCGAGATAAACAAATTTGAGAACACAGAAGGAAACATGCATACCTTATCAGCACTGCAAAGAAAGAAACAATGGTAATAGTATGAACAAGACAAAGAATTTTAGGCGGTTTTTGCAGTCAAAGGCTGGTTCACACACTTGCGATTCAGTTGAAGAGTGTTCACACACTCTTCAACCGAATGGCCTCTTATGACGAGACGACACATTGGTGGCGTCTATCGGGCGGCCATGGAAGACTCGGGATTTCCGTATAATACCTATTTTTCTCACGCATTCTTTTTTTTTTTTTTTTTTGTTTTTTGCTTGAAAAGCTTTTGAAATTGTTATAAATGACCATTTCTTGTAGATATGTGTGCATTTGATCTCGTAGATACAGCAAAGCCTTCGCTCTAGTGAAATACAGCTCTGGAGTCACCTCATAGACAGCACTAGTGTGACGGTCAGTTCTCTAGAGCCTGTATTGAAGAGAGGGTCCATCTCAGACCATGAAGAGTGTTTGCAATTTAATGGCGGATGCCTCCTGCAGAGATTGGTCGCAAGTGTACGTGCACTGGCGAGGAGGAAAGCGGGTCGAAAGGCAGAGACGTTTGCAGACGAGCGACGGATTCGGCACCTCCTAGCAGTTTGTGTTGCAAACGCGGCCCATTAATCACTTGACCCCTATCGAGCAGTTGGAAACACTCTAGTGTTCTCGCGTCGTAAAAGATTGCAAGAACTTGGTCTTAAGCAAACATGGGTGTGTGAACGGGCCTGTAGTAGGTGCGATTAAAGGCTGAAGTTGCGGAGATAAGCAGGCTGCGGCTGCAAGCAGTCGTCTGCAACAAATGCGGTCGAGAAAGGTTCCCACCTGAGTGTTGAGCACTGCCTGTCGAAGAGCTGCCTCGGGGAGAGCACCTCCCCCGTTGCCGCCTGCATCTTCCACCAGGTAAACGAGGGGGGAGAGTCCCGACGCAACCAGACGTACCTATACGCCGACACAGGTGTGTGAACGGGGGGCCTTAAGTTTGCCCGACGAACGTTTGACGCCAACTCGGCGGACGCCAGGTAGTACCTTCTGTTCGTGAAAGCGTCCATCTTGGATGCTCTTGGCAAGGTCGTCGGTGCGCTTCCGCTCCACCAGCGGGCCGAGCAGCCACTCCCGGCACGAGAGGCCGCTCCTGGATCGACCCAGCCAGGCAAAGTCTCCGACGCTCAGCCGCCGGATTTCGTGGGCCACTCCGAGCGAGCGCAGTTCTCGAATCAGACGTTCCTGAGACCTGCAAGCACGCACCTTGCACACTTACATTTCACGGCATTTCGGCCACTCCGGGGCAACCAAACGCCGACGGAGTTCACCCAAAACCCTGAAGCTTGAAGAACGTTGTGTGACGGTGCACAACGTAACCTGCGGAGATGGGAACTGCTGGCTTTGCGTGCGAAGTCCGACATATATGTCGCGCCTTCACTAAATAGACCTTTTTCAATTACCGAGCATAGTCTGCAAACTACCAATGAAGGGCATCCTAATGTGCCTTAGCTCGTTAGAATACTCTGGTATTGTGCCTGTGCCGGTGCGTCTGTACAGTTGACTCTTATTAATTCAAACTTGCGGGTACTTAAAACTAACATGCAAGTCCCATCCTATGCGTCTCTATGGGAGGAAACTCCTGATAATTCAAACTTTGCTTTATTCAAACAAATTTTCGGGCCCCCTCGAGTTTGAATTAACGAGATTCGACTATACTTATTGTTTTTATTTCCCATACTACCGAAGCTCAAAAAAAAAATCGTCAAAATAAACAAATGCACGCGAAGATAGGTGCTGACAATATTGGTTGTGCGGGACGGTGCCCTCCGAAGATGGCGACAGCGGGAAGCAGAGCCAGAAGAGAGGGTGAACGCATGTGCAGAAGCTAACTGGAAAAAAGGTCCACTGCGCATACTGTGACGTTCACTCAAGTTTACGCCCATCCCGCCGTGTCTTTGTATAGCAAGCGCCGGGGAATGAGTAAATAAATAAAGAAGCGAATAAAAACCGTGCCTGCCAGAGAAGTTGGGCAGAGAAAGCAACAACGGCTTCACCAGGGAGACAGAAAAACTGAAGTACCGAAACTTTAGCCATTCTTTCGACTATCTTGTGAAAAACTGGCCACCGCTAGAGAGACAGACTACCCTGGAGTGCCCAAAAACTGTCTGCTCACCCCGCGCAAGCCTCACCGCAGTCGACGAGCATCAAAACCTCGAGCGACTGGGGCATCTCCATCAGGCTGCCCAAACTAGTTCCGGCGGAGCACGGATCTTGCGTCGGCTGCTCCGCGGGGCTCGCCAGCGTGTTCTGCGAGCCGTTCTTGCCTGGCTCGAGCAGCAAGCTGGCCAGTCGCTGACCCTCGTCCGTCAGGCTGTACCTGCGATCGCATCGAGTGTTTGCCAGCTTAAAAGTCGATGGTATATTATTGTTTTAGCTCGCGGAACCTAGCTTGAGAACTCCTGGGTTAGACGATTTGATGGAAGACAGAAATTAGAGCATAATTTAAAGGGGGGAGAGGGGGAGGAGCGTAAACGTTTCTAGGCTAGGTGGTGCAAGCTACCACCTCGTAGAGGAGGTACAGCTAATACCGACCGTCCATCCATCTCCGCTTTTCGTGGAGTGTAGTATATAGAGAAAGTTTGATCAATGGGAGGAGCGAGCAGAGCCAGGGCTTGCACAAGGCGCAGATAGAAGGCTTGACATGCTCTCTTGGCCAACCAGGAGCCAAAAATAATACCCTAGCGGTGGTAGCAAGAAACACTTTTAATAAGTGTGTAAGAGTTAAATGGAGTAGCTCTTCGTGGTTGAAAATATGGTCATGGGATGTTTCGATTGTGACCATGCAAAAAGATGTGAGAATCGAATGTGCCGCTCAAACTCTGTTTTGCTCGGACGAAGGCTGACCGCTCGGACGACAAATTCCCGGCACTAGGTGCCCAGCGTTCGGATTACGTCGATCGTTCAGCTAGTCGCGCACGCTTTTTATATATTCTATATCTTTATATCTTCCACCATGGTTTTACATGATTGTGATCAAAACATCACGGGCACCATATTTTCAGTCACCGAGAGTTATTCCGATGCACTCATTAATTTTGTATCTCACGATCACCGCCAGGGTAGTATCCGGGGCTTCTGGTTGGCCACATTCGAATTTGTGAAGATGCCGTGGTATATGCCCAGCCCACTTTTGGTTAATGGCGCCTCCCCATTTGCCTCTTGTACTTCCCAATGAATGGCCAAACTCTCCATACACGGCTCTGTTTTCGTGATGAGGTGTCTTATGTAAATAAATTCCCCTTACTTTGCTGGACAGCCCTGCTTAGAGACAAGACCTTTGCGCAGTAGCGTGGCCATGCTGCTCCATGCAGTGTAGTGGGAATCCGCTGGCGGCTGGATAAAGAATCAGACGTGCAAGCAGCTTGTTTTGCATCCAAATCCAAATCACGAGCCTCACTAAATACGGGTCGCCCACTCACCACAGTGAAAGAGGCGTCACACAGGGGCTGTGCCATCAGCAACAGCTGCGACTTAGTCAGCCAATCACGGCTGGGGTCTCCTCCTTGCTCCTGCGCGGTGAAAGAAAGGGCCAAGGTTTTCATTCGTTCGAGCTTTAGATCAGTAAAACCAGAGAGCCGATGTACAGAATTTCGCCCCAAAAATGCAAGGGATTTTTTTCGCCGCAAAAACAAACTATGCATTGCCAAACGCTCATTCTCCACCCAAATGTAGCACTAGTGGTTCGAACCAATTGCCAAAGTTTCAGGACTAACCATTATTTTATCCAAGAGTGATAAGTGATTCTCTAAAAAATTTTAATGGGAATATGTCGGCCGACGGAACCCTCAAATACGTGGAGCTGAATGGTGCCAGTTACCGAGAACGGGCCCCATTTTCCCGCTGAAATTTTCAGAAAATCCCTTATGACTTTTTAATAAGATAACAGTAGTTCTGGAGCTCTGGCATATGGTTCGAAGTGCTTGCACTGCATTTGGGTGAAGACTGAACATTTGGCGATGCGTCGTGTATTTTTGCGGTGAAACAAATCCTTGTAAATTTTTCGGAGGGGACATGCTGTACACTAAATTAATTGCTTATTTATATTGGCTAAAACCAGCTAAATCGATTAATGGTTACTCGAAGAAACATTGTCTTTCTCAGCCGTTTTGCGTTGCGGGCAAACAAATGAACACACCACCAGGGACATGGAATAGTGTAGTGCCCACGCGCTATCAACTCGCGATATACTCGACAGATGCCTGTTACTGTGCATCCAATAACATTCATTTTTATAACTATTTTTTTGCACTTTCCTTTCATCACTTTTTTTTTTTGTAAATTGCGTTATGTTCCCGCTGGGTTGTAACTTTTTTGGTTTTGTTGAATATTAGTCATTGAACTCTTCTCCCTCTCGCTAAAGCTATCGCTAGGGTCCTCAAAAGATGGCCGACAGTATTTCCTATGAAATAAGCAAATAAATGTAAGAGCCACCACCAAGACGGCGAGTTCCCCAGAAAAGAGGGAGGCAGAGTTTTCCGTGCTCGTTCCGGGAAAAAAAGAAAAGCTTGGCGCAAGACACAGGTGTCACGTTCCGCAATACAAAGTTGGTTCGAAGTCGGCTCACCAGAACCTCTTTCCTCTGACGAGCCAATGTCAGCAAGATGGCGTGGGCGCCACTTCGCGGCAACGGCACGTACTGGCGCGGCCCCCGCTGAGGTTTCGGGCGGCTTGCTTTGCCCGTCTTGGTCGCGGCACCGTTGGACATTCTGGCAGCACCCCCCGGCGAATGGCTCAAATGTTGCGGGGGACCGCCGCCATCGCGGTGAGGGCACGGCACTGCGGCCGCGTCGGGGAGTGGAATGTCGTGCCCCGCCTTCCTGTGCTGCTCCAACTTTTTGTCAAGCATGGCACAGAGCTTGTCCCCTGAAAATGCAGGGAGGCACAACGACGAGGTATGTGGATTCACTGCAGCTCAGCAGCATAAAGAGAGAAGGCTCGCGTCGCAAGCTCGGACATCGCGAATCCGAATTTTACAAATGTGGACGACGGATGGCGTCTGCTATTGGAGGTGCTGTCATCGCTTCTGTTTAATGGAAAAGCGGCCCGTTGAAATAGTTGTTCTGCTATGCTGCGTTCTAACAGCGTGTTTCTGTAACCTCTGTGAGGCGACATGCATTAAGAAGTTCAGGCTAGCAGTTGCATCCTGCACTGCTGAAATTACCCGAGAAAAATGGAGGAGGAAGCAGACATCATTTCAAGGTCCCCCAATTCGTCCCTCTGTCTAAACATGCTCAATTTAAAAACTGCAAAAATAAAAAGCTCCATGCGATGAGGCAGACGAATGCGTACCCCTTTCAGTAAACTAACATCTTTTACAAACTTTCATACAGTGCAATGCCCATTTTAAGTTGACAGACAAACTTTGCCAAGTTTTTCCGTTGACAATCCAGCTTGATGCATATTTCGTGACACAATCGGGCAAGGGACTATGCAACTATTTACCGAAAAATTCCAGCAGCTTGGCTTCCTTGCCTGAGTGCAGCACCAGAGGATACTTCTTGAGTGACCTCAAAGCCTGCAGAGCAAACCGACAAATGGTAAAACCGAAGCACATTTTTATTGTCTTTTTTTTTAAGGCTTTCGCACGAGCCAATTGATACCCCCAAACTTTGCCCGACCTGGACGAACACTTGGAAGGGTTGCCATACAAAAAAATTAGCTCGGGGCCATGTTCCATTCACCCCTAAGCTGGTAGTGCAGTGGAAGTTACGTGCTTGACAAACCAGTCGTACATCCGTCCTACACCACGCGATCACACTCCCGCCCGCCCCCGGGAGCAGATAGCAGGGTCGGGTGACGAAAGGGAGGCAGTTGATTGGTCCTGCAAGCGTATATAGCTCCCACCACACCGTCTGCTTAGCGTGAACAGTGTCTACTGTTTTTACACAAAACTGCATTCGGCGGTTAGAAGAAGACTTGGTAGAAGCCCTAGGAATGTGACAGGCCATTGAAACCTCTAAAGTCAGTTATTGCTCACACGTCACACAAAGACACAATGTTTGTTGCAGATGTGATGACAGAACTACCTGCAGACACATATAAAACGTATTCGAACAAGCTTCTGTACGGCCAATGTGACAGGACCGTTACACAAGGAAGAAACACGACACGGACAGTGTCTGCAGAATGTCTGTGTCGTGATTTAGTCCAAGAGTCTCCAAACGGCTAAGGGGCCAGTTCGAGGATCTGTCGCTGTCTCGAGGGCCAGAAAATAATTGAGCAAATAGAGACGAGAAAAAGCCAAATAAATAATCCTAGGCAAACATTTAGATACAAGTTCTAAAGTTAGAGTAAACATTAAGGCAGTTGAACAACATATAATTAATGTACGGAGAGTGTGTTGGTGCAGGTCGACATTGAGGAGAGAATAAACATGTCAGAGGGGGATGACACAAAGGCAACTTCGTCTTCCATGTGTATTCTTTCTTCAATTTGGAATACATAAAATTCAGTTTGAAATTCAATATTTGGCTAATTATGACGTTACACAATAACTGAGACCCGGAAAACTCGCAAGGCATAAATCAAAGCGCACAGAAACTTCGGCATGTTCACAAGGGGCAGAAGATTAATGAGAATAATAGAACTGATGCCGACAATATGCGATAGATACGACATAGGCCACTAAGCACAGTGTACGTGCAAACGTGAAGGAATTTTAACGCATGTACCGTAAAATCTCGAGAGATGCCCCACCCCTGAAAGATGGCCCACTCCTATCTTCGGCTCGATTTGCTATAATTTTTTAAACACCGAAATATAGCCCAATCTTAGTAATAGCAGTGTTGGGATCAATGATGGACTCGGCGAAAATAAGGCTAGTTAGCTATGGCAGGACATAACCGAACATTGCTGACTGAGAAGTAGTCGTCTTTGCTTCTTTGCTCCTCGCCACCGTAACAAGCTTGGAAGGGACATGACCTAATAATTGCAATTTTTTAAACTTTTCTTGGTTGTACATCGAAAGTAAACCAGCTTTTCTAGATTGTACATCGAAAGTAAACCCACTCCATATTTTCACCCAATTTGCTCTTGACAGGCACGTAGCCAGGATTTTGTTTCGGGAAGGGGGGGGGGGGGGGGGGGCGCTTATGACAAAATGCTGTATGAAGGAGAGGGGGGAGAGGAGGCCCCAGCAAAATAAAAGATTTTTTTTTGGGGGGGGGGGGGGGGGGGGGGGGGCGGGCACCATGGCTACGTGCCTGGCTCTTGACGTTAGGTTTTACGGTCGGAAGACCTAAGATTTACGGTAGTTAAACAGATACGGAAGGGACTGAGAACGGTGACACTGGTGATGCCAATGTCCAATGAATAATCTGACGAGAGGACGTGCTCATGTTTCTCCATCTTTTCTGGTATGTATGGGAAAGGTAACAACAAGGGCTTAAAGTCTGGGGCTCTCAAGGGGTCTCGGAACCCCCACTGATTTTAAAGGATGGTCTGAGACCCCCCCTCCACAGCCCCAGCATTAGTGAGATCAAAATCATATCTTGCAATAAACTAGCTTGTTCTCAGGGATGTGACATTTGGGGATTAGCAATCTGAGGGTTGCAAGTACAGCGTGAGCAGAGTCAGCAGTGGGGTTGATTTTATGTGCATCTAATACATCTCGTCAGAACCCCCCCCCCCCCCCCCCCCCGCCCTCCTCCCTTCTTGTAGGGACCCCCCTCAACTTATGGGAGGCTTTAAGCACTGTATAACAACCCTAGCCAAGGGCCGGTGTTCAGAGACGCCTGATTTAGACTGATGTGATCAGCGGTGTCGCAGCCCGGACGCTACCTTGGCGAAGACGTGCTGGGTTTTGCGGTTGCTCGCCACGGCCTCGTCTTTCCACTCCCGAAGCCACTTGGTGAACAGGGGATTTGGGTCCGCTTCTTTCTTTCTCGTGCGCCGCATACGATTCACGGGTTTCCCGACGGTGGTGACAGTTGTCTGCGCCATCTTTCCCTTCTACGACCCGGAGCATAGACTACCAAATGTTCACGGTGTTGTGCTGATGCCCTTGAAATCTGGTGTCTGCGGTTATGAACTAATCTTCCAAAGTTCTCATCTTCAAATATCCTCCCGCCGCCGCCATCGCCGAAATATGCATTCTAATCCGAATCCAGAACGTCATCAAGTAGCCGAACAACCACACATTTTTTAAATATAAAAGCTTGGACGTTTAATATGTGGTAAGCAACAGGGAATGCATTTAAAGTAAACTTTGTTATGTTTTATTAATTTGAACTTACACTGAAGCAAAAATCGACACTCTTTCTGGAATGCAAAAATTGCCAAGATGACCCTCGATCATCTGCCAACGACTGAGCGACGTCGATATCGTGTTTTGGCCCTGAAATCGAAACTATCGAATCTGTCGATCCGTCCAAAAACGTTTAAATTTTCCTTCGCCACGCATTCATACAGGCTTGATCGTGGAAATTAGGTTCTAAGACTGAGAAAGAAAAGTTTTAAACTTTCCTGCGACGTAGAAAGTGCGTTTCTAGCCAGCGTAGTAGCGCCAACGGGGTATTTTTAGCCCATGTCCCGAGATGGAAGTTGAAGCGTCCACGACGGTTATTCCTCCGCCGCCTCCACCGCTTCTTTCGACTGTTTCGGCATCAAGGCGCGACGGCGATCTTCCTCGGAGTGTCAGCCGTACGGAAGATGACCCAATCACAGCCGCCATCAAGGTTCTTCGTCGTCAAATGGACCGTATATGCAAAGGTGACGAGAACGTCGCTGTCCTTTCCAAACTTTGCCCCGTCGAGCCCGTTCTTCAAAGCGGTCCCCAGTGAGTGTTTACCGGCTCTCTCATACCCTGTGCTTCGGTATAAAGTATCAAACTAAAAGCTTGACCTCATGGTGTGCCACCGTAGCTATCTATGTAGTAGATTGATTCTTGTTCATTTCATCTTTGTTTCCCCCCTCCGGGGAATTCTGACGTCACAGCCAGTAGTGGCACCTGCTGACGAACGGAGAATGCGCAGATGCTTCGTGGGTTCCGGCGCATGCGCAGTGCCTTCTGTTGGCACAAACATACGCAAAAACAAACATAAAAAACGGCGCAAGAGAGAAGTGTTTTAGACAAAAGGATAAGCACTGTGTTTTTTCCGGTACATGTAACCAACTAGCCCACCTGTTGAATCTAATTGAGCACAAGTATAGTTGAAGGTGAAGGCCTTTGAATACTCAAATTTATTGGTTTTGTATTTATCATAGATGTGGCTTGGTGGCACTCGCCATGGCGTCGCAACTACTGCAGCCATCCCCCGTGAGTGTTGCTAGAGCCTTTGAGACAGCCAAGGCACTTGGATTCACCAACAAGGGAGAAATGTTTTCAGGTTTGTGCTCGCTGTACCGCCAACATGGAAGTTATGCGCATGCGGGCCTTTTAAGTTGGAGTGCGACGTCTAATTTTATGAATTGGACCATTAAAGGGGTTGTCCGGTAAAATTATGTGTTCGAGAAAACAATTGAATATCATTGTTATTCCCTCGAAATGCATCTTTCATGCAATATTTGAATTTTATATGCCCCTCTGCATGAGTAATTGAATTTTAAACTGCTCCAATCGCATCCTGGTGTAAACGGTGCTTTTGTTGGCAACATTGAAGCTCTGACATCACATAACGCAAAGCGAGCATTTCCTGTCGTTGTTTGCCTGCGCCGCAGCATGCTTCATTTTTGTTTTTGTACTCGACTTGTTTCGTGGATGGGTGAGATTGTTTTTGCGCGGTTGCGGGCCACAATCATTGGGTAGCACCTGCAAGCCAAGACGTGACGTTCCAATCTTTTCCGCGAAATGTGCAGCAACGAACAAAATGGATCGTCGTCGTGCATAGGGAACACTGAGTTCCCGTCAAGGTAGAGATCCTGCTTATGCAGCAATTATTTCACAGAAGAGAGCTACAAGCTGAGCTCCAAGCGGATAGAAGGCTCGTAAGCTGAGGTGTGATGCTGTGCCACCGATATTCAACTACACCCACCCACTTCTCACCCAAATCAGATCAATCGGTTTGATTATGCAGCGAAACCAAAACCAACAGCTAGGCCAACTTGAAACGATGCCTAAAGTTATATTTAGCACACGTGCAGCCCAATTCTGTTTGACCCGTCTGTGTGAAGGGAACGTGGCTACCATTCACCAAGCTCGTCCGAGTCAAGTGATGATCTAAAAATGTTACATGCATTTTGAACGATTTGCCATTTGCCTTCGACCCGCGGGCATCGCCTCCAAGGAAATGACCCGCTGCCGCATCACCGATCCAGTGCATCCGTCGATATGTGGACCCAGATGCCGTTCCAGAGGCAAAATCTGCATCATTCTCTTTGCAAGCGCTACTTGTCTGATCGGTGGCCGTCGGAGTTGTGTTTGCGTGAAACAGCATATGGTTTGCTCGAAGCTAAGGCTGTTTTCGAATAATATCCTGCTAAAAGGTGCTACCTTTTTGCACATGCTTGGGAACTGCATTACAAGGAACATATTTCAGTAGGGTACAGCCAAGAAGACTATATAATTCGAAACAAAATACAAGATATCCATCGACCAACGCTTGTTATCCCAACCAACCGATGATCCTTTGCGTTATGTGACATCACGCAGCAGCTACAGATGTCATCCATTGAAAATGGCGAAATTCAAGGTGCTGTTTCATACACATGCTCATGAAACGTTTAATTAATATGTGGACATATATCAGAATAAGAAAGACGTTTGTCTATGTGAAAACTCTTCATCTAACGAGTGCAAAAACTTAAGTAATTCTGGCTTCGACCAAACAATCCCTTTAGATAAAATATTGATTTCAGTTTACACTTTTTTTTATATGTTCTGAAACCTTTTATCTATTATCTTTTATAATTTTATCCAAGTTTCAATAAGTCATCTGTTTTCCATATTGTTTATGCAGGAACCTAGTAGAATAACTTGGATGTTATCTTTGACGATAAAGAACTTGTGCCCTGCCCTCATCCGTCCTTTTGAATTTGGCTGCAGTTGCAATTGCTTACTTGTTTTTGCTTTTTTTTACTCTAGTCGAAAACATGCGGCTACTTGCTGAGAGTGTCATGTGCTGTCGAAGCGAACTGCTCCACTGTCCCGCAGATCATCGAGGGCGGTTAATCGAACACCTGCTACGCGGGAAACCTATTCTGGTTCCGTATCCTTTCTGCTGTGCTCGTTTCCTAAAAGTCACAGTATTGTGAGTTGAGTAAATTATCTTTGTTCACACGAAGTCGCAACACTCCACATGACACATGGTAGCAAAGCAGTGACGTTTGAACAGCAGCATCACTAGGGTCAGCGACACTCAAAGCAATGACCTGCTGCGAACCCCCCCCCCCCCCCGCTTTCGTGGCCCGCCGCGACCAACACCTCCTACTAGACTAGGAAGAACCCCAGCACTTGCGAGTCGGGATGCAAAGATGGCGGAGAGGGAAGGCTATGGCCCTGGCGGCCAATGGCGGTGGGAAGCACCAGCACAAGTCAACCTGCGTTATGAAATGCTATGTTTTAGTACAAACGTTTTGTTCGAGAACACCTTTCAATGCAGTTTTTAAGGTCGATCCACTCGTCAGCAATGACTTTTCAACGTTTGTGAAGATGGACACATGAGTTTGCACATGCTAGGATATGTAGTGCATTTCAGTCTAAGCATTTGTGCCGTCTCCCCATCTGTTTTTTGGTGCTTCGACACCAGTCGATGTGCAATGCACATGGTGTGTTTTTGTGTCAGGAATGTTCTCTATGGATAGACAGGATGATTTCATTCGCCGCATTCATATGTGAGATATACAATGAATTCAGCTTCATTTGTGGTGTTGATGCAAGTAGCTTTTGACATGAAGCTTTCTGAACTGCTTGCATACACACAGAAAAGTTATTCGTGAGGTTGCATTGTAGCCCAGACTTACATAAAAGCAGATGTCATTGGAGATGACTAGTATGTTTTTTACCAGGAGAGATGTTTAGAGTCTTCGTCGAACTGATTTCTGCCAGACACAGATAAGTTGATGTGATGCGACTTGTATATAAGCAAACAAAGGCTATAAATTTGCCAGACCAATGTATCTACAGCCCAGTTTTCATTACTACATTACTGGCTAATCAGGAATTTTCATGCTTTGTTTCAGACATGGGACGAAGGACACAGCAGTTTTATCCTGTTAATATTGCGGTGTAAGCTCAAAAACTTTTATTGGAAGATAAATCTTCAAACCTTGAACTGGAAGATATATGGCAAGATTTCAGGTAATTCTAGCTGCAAAAAGTGGTAAACTCCTATAAGAATATATTAAAATCCTTGTATAAATTTCTTGCACAAACAACAACTCTAGGCCGAAAGGAACATTGAAACATTATTTTTTGGTTGTTTTTAAACACACCGCTGTGTTAGTTTCAGGCAAGAATGCAGTTGTTACATATGTTTAGTATGTCAACAGCGTTGGTACTGTGATGTGTAATGCCGTTTTCCATCATTCTTTATCATGTCATTTTCGGCTAGTATTCTTCATGAAGAATCCACCTTGCGGGGATAATTACATCATTTATATATCTCGAGACTTTGTTATGCACCCACCCTGTTTTTCCATTTTGCTTCAATGATTTTATGCAACAATGATTTAGAAGTCTAAGAAAATCAGCTTCCTAACCCAAATTTTGAGTGCTTGCATCAATAATAATTCATGGCTATGACAGTAAATCGACACGTGTTGCCTTCTCTTTTTAGCGCGGGCTCGATGGCCTTCTCTTTCGACCGTGCAGAAAGGTGTTGCCGGGTCACCCCCCCCCCCCCCCCCCCCCTTTAATGACGCCACTTCATTTAAATATACTGCAAAGCCTCCCAATAGCTTTGGTTTGTTGTGTTTCAGCAGCTCATCTAGGTGCAGACGCGGTACGATCATTTGGCATTTATTAATTGCCGAGATAAAATCAAACATTTTACCATTTGGAGTGGATGCGACTTCAGCACATTCATGAAAGGAATCAGACGGCAGTGGACAAAAGCAACAAAGAGAAACCGCAGCAGACATGAAAAGTGTTAGCCTTTATCTAACCGTGTATCCCTGTAAATGCAATTCTGCTACCATGACAGTAGATTACATCATCACCAGGTCTGCCTGCTTAGCTCGTCACTTTGTCTTGACTCTATTCGGTTTACACTGATGGCTGTTTATCGGTTTGTGATGAAATTCGAAAGCTTGCTTATAGCAGACACCGCTTTTCTTCAAACTGTGTTTGACCTGTATAGTGTAAGGGAACTGACATTTACACTAGCTAACTCTGTCAAAAGAGAAAAACGGTAGACTATACGCGCTATCCCCACAGTAAGTTTTATAGCCGAGTTGCAGTACAACATGGTGTATCTCACTAGAGAGCCGAGATGCTGGTCCCAATTTTTATTTAGAAAGAAAGTGGAATGCCTAGAAATATTTATCTTTATATTAGTGATGTCAATGAGTTGCAGATTATTGTGACAGCAAATTGCGGCACTAAGGAAATGAATAATTGAATGTGACTGCATCTTCAATTGCTTTATTTTGGACCATATTATGTAAAGGCAACTTACTATGTAAGCTTCTGGTTAGCGACAATAAACACGGAAAAAGTTCGGGATTGCTCGCCGGCATGTTTACCTTCGTGAATTCCCTCAGCGATGGAAAGTTACGACTCGGACGGCAACTTTGAACCCTGTCTCAAGGGCGGGCATACTGCCCACTGGGCTGTGATTCATGGTAAGTATATATGATCTACCATATTACTGTGTTCTTTTATATTGTTTTTTGCAAAAGGTCTATTACAGTCAGCAGGATGGGTATTTGCAATGATGAGCCCCATATCTCTGTTAAAGGTATTTTCAGTTCATGATCACCGCAGAACAGACACGTTAAATGTGGAAATAGCAGACGGTTATGCCGTCTTACACCTTGGCAGGTCGTTTTCATTGGCTTTTTTGGCATTCAAGATTTTAGGGAGGCCGTGCTTTCCCCTCTGGGATGTGCTCATGGCGCACGCCAGTCACGTCATTCGCCGATTCTGCTCCCGTGCTTCATTTCTCCGTCCCAAATCTCCCGAAGACGACGTCATGAGTGACGCCATTTACGATGACGCCATTTGCTCGCTGTTCATGGCAGCGCTCTCCCCAAGTATCGTGTCCAAACAGAAACGTAACGCACACGGTAGTTTTGCAGTGTGCGCGAAAATGGTAACACGTACGTTTGCGAGAAGAAACCAGACAAGTTGCAAATATCCCATAAGGCCCTGCGAGAAGTGTGCAACGAATTATGGGAACCTCCTGTATGTTCCTCTTTCAAACAATAGCACACCTGTGTCATTAAAAAAAAAACGAAAAAAAAAAACTGGATTATTTATTTTATTTAAAAAAAAAAGCTGGAAGTACACCTAAACACTTCTTATGAGTTGTGAATGCGAAAGCATGCATGTCGTTCTTCCGTCCCCTTAGTTCGTCTGTGGCGTACTGGCATGGACCGGCCGACCGCGCGCTCTCCTCGCCGCACTGACCTGACCTCGGCCGTGGAGCCGCTGCCTCGCTTGGCAGCCAGACGCTTCGTTTTACCGGCGCGCTGGCGGCGCGGATACGCTGCGCCATGGGGTGGCGGTCCTTGAAGCTGACGCGCAGCGGCCAATGGGAGCCTCGGTTCTTGAAACTATGACGCGCGCCAGCCAATGGGACCTATCCGTCAGATTTCGGCTTCACTGCGCTCCATCGGGAGCGGGGTAACTAGGCGCCGTTTGGCTAGGGTTTTCCCGCGGCTTCAAAGCTGGGAGCCATCAAATCGCGGCTTCACTTGGAGAAAAGGGTTTAGGTGCCGTTTGGCGGGCGGCTTCAAAGCTGATGACGTCGGCTCGCTCCATGGGACAGCTAATGCTTTCACTTTAATAAGTACAAAATTTCATACTGACTCAGGAGCAAGGCGGGGACTCATCCGGCCGCCTGACATGAACATACACTATAGTCGGCACACACAGAAAAAGGAATGGTGGACCTTTTTTCAGTACAGATGTCAATAGCGCACACGTATGCCCGCCTTTGTTGATGCATTGTCTGCTACAGCCGGTTTTATCCAGCTACTTCCCAGAATTCATTTTGGCGCCACGACTGTGTACAATAACTAAATGGCGGAGCCGGAGCATCGCCTTCCATTTCCTTTCGCCGCCAACTCCTTATTGGCGGAGAAGAGGTCACGTGCACCAAATATGACCTTCCCGCTTGCGAGGAGGCTGCCTCGAGGAGCGTCGGCGCACCAGGTTTTGGGTTCGGGACAGGGACGTACGTCTCGCTTTGCGCTCGCGACATGCAGGTCTTGCTCCGATGTATGCCGAGCAGGCGGCTTCTTTCTTGAACCCGTGATGCTTCACGAGGAGCCGGACTTTCTTTACTACGTTGGCGTGTGTCCCGTTGCAGGTTTCTGCGTGGCAATTCCCGCCGAAGAGATGGACGATGTCGCCAACTGCTGCCACTGGGAAGACGACGTCGAGCTGGGCAGACGCTTACGCCACGTTCGAGCCGCTCCCTCCGCGCAGGCCATGGCCGCCGCGTTGGCGGACGAACTCTCCGTCTTCGTGTACGCCAGTCAGGGCAAGAGTCGTCGGGTCGGGCTCTGGGACCTGGACTGTCTGCTGCGCAGCAACGGCAACCTGGCCGAAGCGACACGCAAACACGACACCGCCTCCGAATTCGTGCTTCCTTCCGGAGGCCTTGTGGAAGGTTTGGCGGGGAAACTGCTTCTACTCGGATGACGAAACTACTTGAAAGGCGCAATGAACCTTTTTTTCTTTCTTAAAAAAAATGCACGCCCGAGGCTGCCATTGTTTGGGCACGTGAACTCGGTTCAGCCAACTTAGAACAAAAGTCTGCGAACATCCTCCTCCATGGAACGTTGCCACACAGTCGGACGGCGCCAACTGAGCAATTTGACCCGTTGCCGGGCGTCTTTCGACGCGTTGATTGGACACGTGCGCTTTTGGTGTGTGTCAACGTTACTAGAACCACTCAGTTGAGAAACTGCCATAGAGCCTGCTTGGAAAAAGTGGCTTCGATCCGTACTCGAGAGTGAGTGATTGAGTGAACGACTTTATTGAACCAAATTACTAGGCTGCAAGGCCTAGTGCTGTGGGTTCGGGATTAGGAGATGGGAAGTATGGGAGGGTTGACTCTTCTATGTCGTAGTCGGGTTCTCAGCCGGTCTTCAATTTCTTGTGCCCGAGCGATGGCCGCTAGCTGGGTGTCCAGATCCTCGGCCGCCAGTATCGTATCCCAGACAGGCTGCCAGTCACCTTGTATGGGTTGCAGCTACCGAGCAGGTCCCCCGGACACTCCCAATAGGTGTGCCGCCAGGACCCGTCGCCGCTGCCACACTCCTCGCACCTTCCGCTGAAGAGGTCCGGCCAGGTCCTCTTCAGGATGTGGGGGGTAAGTGTTGCGGAGCTGCAACTTCCTCCGGATGGTGTCCTGCTGTCGGGAGAGCTCCTTGTGGGGCCCGGGCAGGGTCTTCCTTTGGAGCCGGAGGCCTTTAGGAGCTTGCCATAGGTTACGGGGCCTCGGGTGTAAGCTGAGGCCCCGAAACTGTGGTCACAATTGATCGTGAGGAGGCCTGACTCCCTGACTCGTGGTGCGCGCACCACGAGTGAGTGGGCCATCTCGTTGCCTGTATGCCCAGAGTGTCCGGGCACCCAGGTCAACGTGTGTGTTGCGTCATAGCTTGCGGGTCTTCTCTTGTACAGCAGGTGCGCCGCTTGTCCAATTCTTCCCCGACTCATGTTGAATAGAGCCGTTCTGGAGTCAGTTGTGATGGTAGCAATCTTTACACCCTGGAGCTCTGCTTGCATACGCGCCAGGGCCACAGCAGCTTCTTCCGCTTCATCTATGTCTGTTGCCTTGATTGTAGCAACCGTATCACGTTGGGAGTTATGTACCGCTATTACGTATCTTCCAGGTTCGCTGGGGTAGGGTCCTGCATCCGCATGGAACACATGCTCTTTCCCAGAGTGCAGCTTGTCGAGTGCTTTTGCTCTGGCAAGTCTTCATCCTAGGTTGTGCTCTGAGTTCATATTTTTAGGCAGTGGGACGCACTGCATGCTGCTTGTCCACTCGTGTCGGCATTGTGAACTTGATATCCCTCTCCTGGTGTGGGGTTATTTCCATTCGGCGCAAGACTTGTCTCCCAGTGGTAGTCTTGGAGAGCCGTAGAATTTGGGTCTCCCGTGGCGCCTGGGCCATCTCCTGAAATGCGTTGTGAATGCCGATTTGTCCGAGCGCCTCATTTGACGTGATCGGTTTGATGCCTAAGGCAGTTTTGAAGGACTTCCGAATGATGGCGTCTATTGCGGCTTTGCCGGATGGCTTCAGGTTTATGTGCGGAGCGGCGTACATGATCCTGCTCAGCGTGAAGGCTTGGACAAGCTGGCAGGTGCCATTTTCTTTGAGCCCATAGCTGCATCTGGAGACTCTCCGGATCAACCGTGCTGTATTGTCCGCCTGTTTTCAAAGCTTTCTGATGATGTCGCTTTGCTTGTTGCCAGTCGATATTTCCATACCAAGCACCTTTACCTGGGTAGCCCGTGGTATATCAATTGTTTGTAAGTTGAGGTAGAAATCCATGTCGTTGTTGCTGCTACCGTGCCTTGGGGTTCTGATGAGCAAGGCGGACTTGTCCGCCGCACATTCGAGACCAGTGGCAGCGGCTTCTTCTTTAACCGTGTCGGCTTCTGCCCTGATGGTATTGCCCATGTACGGTGACGGGAGCACGGTCCATATCGTTACATCGTCTGCATAAATTGCGTGACTGAGGCCTCCCATATCTTGCAGTCTTTTCGACATTGGGATCATGGCCAGGTTAAAAAAAAAGCGGGGAAATGACTGCCCCCCGCAGGGTTCCCCGTCCAATTCAAAGTCTTCAGACATTTCGCCTTTCATTTGGATTTGGGCCGTTCGTTCTGTCTGATAGAAAGTCTTGGATGTAATTGAAGGTCCTTTCTCCAAGGTTCAATTGGGATACCTGGTGCAAGATGGCCTCGTGTGAGGCGCGATCAATTGCCTGCTTTAGATTCAGGGCCGCAAGAGCCGTCCATCTTTTGGTGTTTTCGCCTCCCTTCAATTGAATGAAAACATCCTGCGTAGAGAGGTGCTTTCGGAACCCGAACATGTGGCTCGTAAATAGTTCCTTCTCCTCTGCGAAGTCTTGGACTCTAGCTTGTATAATGCGCTCCAGCAACTTGCCAACACACGAGGTAATCGAGATGGGTCTGAGATTTTCCATCTTGAGGGGTTTGCCGGGCTTCGGAATGAAGCACACTATCGCATGTTTAAAGCTCTTCGGTAGCCGACCGGTGCGGCATACCTCGTTGAAGAAGGGAGTGAGTGCTCCTATCGATTTGTCGTCCAGATTCCTCAGCATCTTATTTGTGACTTTGTACGCCCCAGGGGCCGATGAGGTCTTGAGGTCTTCCAGAGCTCTTCTCAGTTCGTGCTCCGTGATCGGAGCATCCAGGCGTTCGTTTGGTTCCCCAGAGTAGACCATGTCACCTGTGTTGCTACTTGAAGGAGAGTCCAAGACTTCGTCTTCAGCTCTTCAAAGATGCTGGCCATGTCTCTCTCGTGCTCCCTCACGATCTTGGTGAGGAGCTTGCCTTCTCGCCCTTTGTGTCGTCTGGTGCCAGGATGCGCCGGAAGAGGTGCCAGGGGCTCTTTGTGTGGAGTTGGCCTTGTATTTCATTGCACAGTTGCTGCCATCGCTGATGGTTTAGTTGCCCGGCGTAACTATTGATGTCATTATAAAGTCTGGCCGCACGCTTACGAAGGTTAGGAAAGCGTTTATCCATACTTTTCCACTTGCCGTAAAGTGAGCGATAAGCTTCTAGCATGTGATGAAGTCTGGAATTGATGGCGTTGGCCTGGGTGGGATTTTCAACTTCCTTTGTGGCCTGGGCTGTATCGTCCACAACGTCTGCACACCATGCTTCTATTGACTCCATTCCTCTTTCGGAGCGTTTCTGTCGGAATAGGTCCCAGTCTGTGCATTCCTGCACGCGGGGTTTAGGGCGCTTGATGCCGGGTAACAAAATCTTGAGCTCGATGATATAATGATCACTGCCAAGGTTCTCCCGTGTGTTATGCCAAGAGACATCGTCCAGGTTCATTCCATATGTTAGGTCAGGGTTGGTGTCTTTCTGCACGCTGTTGGCAATCCGGGTGGGGCACGAGATGTCGTTTAGGAGGGGCGCATCATGAGCATCCGCCAGCTCCACGATGGCCTTGCCTTTGACGGTATCCTTATCATACCCCCACAGCGTATGATAAGCCTTGAAGTCTCCCACGACCAAGGCAGCATTGCCCTCTAGCAATGGGTGAAGCTGTCTAAATGCTTCTGCACAGGATGTTGTGTGGTCCCTTTGAACAGGGTATATATTGCTGATGAATAAACTTTTCTGTCTTTTGCGCTTTGGGAGAATCTCAGGCGTAACTGCTTGAACCGTCCCCTCCAACTCGATGTCGTGTCGATGAACAGCCAGATCTCGCCGGACGAATGTGAAGATGGGTTTGCGTGAGGTGTCACAGTCCATGCCGTAGCGGTCATAACCAGGTAGAGCGCAGTTGGGGTCCGCCTCTTGAATCGCAAGGACATCGGGAGGGGCCGTGCTGTCCGAGATCATCATCGTAAGTGAGTTAACTTTTGTGCCGAGGCCCCCAGCATTCCACTGCCACACCAGAAGGAAGTCGTTACTTTCCATTCTGGGTGGCGGGCTTGGGGTTCTTTTGGTTCTTGACTGACTGCTGTAATAAGCCATTGTATTCTTCAGTTTTGTGGAGTTGCTCATCAGATGCTGTGAGAGTGCTCTGAAAAGCTGTAATGCTCTTGGTTGTGCTTTCCTGCATGTCGTGGACTACCTTGGCCAAGCTCTCTAGTAGGGCGTTGGAGGCCGAGCTGGACTCTACTCGATGTGCCTTGGGCCCTTCGCTGTCCGTGACCGCGGAGGCGTCCGTGCATTCAGACTCTGTGCGTTGCCCTTTCTTCCTCGTGGTGCGTTCTTCCACCTGCATGCTTTCCTGTTCTACCTGGGGTGTCGGGGTGGGGGCATTGAGGTCTCGCTGGAGACGGAGGCCCTTCTTTGGTCTTGTCTCCTAGGGGCTCCCGTTGCTCTTTGAAGTTGACGTCCAATTAAGATCAAGGATTTCACGCTGTAGCGCTTCCTTTTCTTCATGCCACTTTTTCCCAAGCAACGTTCTCTCTTCTCTCATAGCTTTGCGGGAAGCCTCGATTTCTGTCTGGAAAGGGTTCTGTTCTGTAGGCTTCTTTTCCCCCCCTTGCTTGCGGAGAGCTTGCAAGTAGTTCTTGGTTTGGTCGGTGGTCGCCTTAGTTTTGCCTGCTTGCGGGGTTAGCGCCACAAAATCTTCTTTTTTGGGGGTTGGCTTTTTCACAGGGGTCTAAGGTTCATGAATAGCTTTATAGCTTTGCTTGCAGTCTCTGCTCCCCGTGTAATGTTGTCCATTACAGATGAGGCAGCGCGGGGTGCAGTCGTATTCCGTACATACCCCTTTGACCCTGGCGGGGTGGCTGTGAATCTCGCCGCAGTTCGGGCACCTACCAGTATTGGGGGTGGGAAGGCGTCCGATCTATGCCCTAGTTTCCAGCAGCTTGTGCATGCTTTTTTGGTTTCCAGATAATCGTGGAAAGGGAAGAGCCTCTCAGAGAAACTTGATGTAGCCAGGAGACTCTTCTGTTCCTAGCGTGATCAAGACGGACGGGGGACCTTCCTATACGTTTCGCATCTATGATGGTCGTATGTGGGTTACACCTGATGAGGTACTCCAGCATTTCGGCTTCGTTAACGTCCTCTGTAGGATCAAGCAATCTCGGAACGACGATGCGGCGAAATCTGCCGAAGGTAGTTCCGTGCCCGTACACCTCGACTTTCTTGCCGTGGATGGTGAAGTCTTCAATTTCTGCATACTTGCGTGCTCTTTCTGAGTTGTCCGTAAGTATGGATACCGTGTTGCTTCTGCTATTGATCCGGAAGCTATCTTCAAGGTGCGCCGTCGTGACATGTACTCCGTCAGCCTGATAATTCCATTCAAGAACTGAGAGCCTGCGACACTCTTCGCGTCAAGGTTTCGCATCCTAAT